CCTCACCTTGAGCAACGCATGAGCACGATGAACAATGAAATGGTTTCGCGGTTAGATGCAATGCAAATGCAGATGGAAAATATGACGAAGAACCTTTCTGACCTCGTATCCGGCCGTGCGACGGTGAACCTAAGCATCAATTGGCCATCATCATCATCATCATCATCAGCAGCAGCAGCACCAATGCCAACACAGCAGCACCATCCAGAGCAGCAGCCAACAACAGCAACAGTTACATCCATCCCGAGTTCAGCACCTTCTGAATCATTGGGTCTTGATGCAACGAGTGAGCCACCGTTTTACATGATGAGCCGGGGAATCAAGACTGTCACTGACCTTTGGGCAGAGTGGTCGGTTGGGCTTGCTGGAGGCTATGCAGTGAAAACACTGGAACAACGTTGGGGTGCAAAATGGAGAAACGGCGATCGCAAGTTCTTCAGTCGCAGAATCAAGATCATTAAGGAGGTCGAGCGATTTGCCTCTGCCAAAGGGATTTCGGAAACGACAGCAGCAGCAATGGGCGAAGAAAGGCGCAATGCTCTTGGACTTAGCTTAAACGAGCTTAACAAACAGGCGACAACGATTTTCCAAAATATTTAGGTGTTTATGATAGCTCTTTTCTCCCTTTGCTACTTGTTCAGCAGACCCACTTAAACTATTTACTTGAAATAAATGAAACATATTTTGTTTGTTGTAAAATATCTTTCCGTCATTGTTTTAGATTTACTGTTGTAATGGCGAAATCGCAAGTATAACACATGACAATGACAGGTAGTAGCATAGCAACGGTGTCAGAAACAAAGGACAGAGAGTAATATTATTATTTTGTGACCCGCACGGCAATAACTCCAGTTATTTCTCATGTAGATGGCAGAAAACAAGTGTTATTTCTTGCGGGTCCCAAATTTTGCGGGTGACCTGCTGTGACATGTCGGGACATTGAGGTTGTATAATATAATTTATCTGTTTTATCATTTACATTACACATGTAATTGCATTTCTCATAGTATTGAGGTAAATGTTTTTTACAATATGAAATATCATTCCCAACTTTAGTTTTATATGATATTTCTTTACATAAAGTTAAATTATTATTATAATATTTATTAAAATCTTTTTCTAATTCTTTCAATTTTTCGTAAATTATTTATATAGTTATTGTAATCTTTTTTAATCATTTTTATTTTTATTTTTATTATTCTATTTTCTAATTTTTTATATTTTATTAAAAGATGATCTTGTTTATTCAAATATTTATACTTTTTATTTTCGTCAAGAAATATTTTATTATAATAATTAAATGCAAATCTCATTTTATTTATATATTTTATATTATATTTATCCATTTCTTCTTTATAATCTATAATATCTTCATTAGTATTCCCACTCTAGACTAGAGATGAAGACCTAAAGTAGATATGCTGTGATCTTCTAGTTCGGTGTTTAGTTAGGCGTAATGTCTGAGAAAAAGAAATAAAAGGAGGATGATGGTCTATCTGTATAACGTTGAGCTTCTAAGCGACTGGAAAAAGAAAGAGGGTAGAGGAGGGTGGGAGCATATCTACTTCAGGTCTTCATCTCTAGTCTAGAGTGCGAATTGATGGTCGATAAATCTCCCACCAATCCCGAAAGACCGTCGATTCCGACCTGAAGGTAGATATGCTGATATAGAGAAAAACAAGGAATGAAAAGAAAGAAAGAAATAACTATGTTGGAGGCGTCTCAAGGTTTACACTTGTAACATTTATCTGTATCAGTCTTGTTCGTCGATAATGATCGTTGAGTACTGCGGAGGAAGACCAATTGCCAAGGGTGACTATGTCATCTACTAGTACAGGAACACATTACTACCTAACTTAGGGGAGACACCATACCTAGTGTCTTCCGGAATTCACCATTATCACTGAAAGTTGATGTATGAATGTTATAAGCCTTCAGTTCAAATGACAGCGACCGTGGATTAGGTGAATTTGCCAAAGTAGCCGTTGGAAAAAAATGGAGTAATATGAAAATAACTCACTGATAAAAATTTAAACTCAATTACTTTAATAAGAAAAATTGGATTTTTATATCTTAATAAAATAACAATATAATAGTATTAAGACCTAATATGAAAATATGTTTACAGAACCTTATGAAAATTACATGAAATACTTATTAACGAAGAAGCAGCAATACTATATTTAATAAATAATAATTATGTCAATAAATATGAACATTGTATTAATTGTGGTAAAAATATAAAGCTATATATTAAGAAAAAATTATATATATGAGAAACGATTAATATCCTAAGATTTGTAAGTTTTGAGATTTATTTTTTAAAAGAAAAAAAAATATTTAATCTGACAACCTGATTGAAAATCAAGGGTTTTGTAGAAGATTAAACAGAAATATATAATGCAAGTAATGTATAAATTTATTATATTTTATAAATATCTCTAATTTATTATACTTTATTGATTTCCTAAAAAAAATAAATTGCAAATTAATTATATTTAACAACAATTAATTTTTTATTATAATATTACAATTAAATATCATGTTTTTAAATCGTTTCTCTATATCAAAATTATAAATGTAGAAAAGTAGTATCACCATTTAAAGATACACTATTTAACAATATGAAACTACCAATGAATATTCAACTTCATTTACTATATTTATTTTTAGGAAAAGTTTCTTGATCATTTATTACAACAAGTTTAAATATTGATAAAAATACAGTAAGTAATTATAAAAAAAAAATAGAAATTATATGAAAGATAATGTTAAAATTAATAAGATTGGAGGAAGAAATAAGATTGTTGAGATAGATGAAAGTAAAATATCAAAAAAAATATAATAAAGGACATAAAGTTGAAGGTTGTTGGGTGATTCATGGAGTAGAGAGAAGTATTTTAAAAATAAAATTGAAAATGAAAATAGAAATACATTCTTTATACCTATTGAAAAAAATATTAATAATATTGATAAAACTATTAAAGATAATTTTAAGAAAGGGACACATATTTACACAGATTGTTGGAGAGGTTATAATAATTTAAAAAATATAAGATATAAACATAAAACAGTAAATCATAAAAAATTTTTTAAGGATCCTATAACAGGAATTCATACAAATAGTATAGAGGGTATATAGAGTGAATTAAAAAGAGGTATAGATATTAGGAATCGAACTAAAAAAGATTTAATATTACATCTAAGAGAATATCAATGGAGAAAAAAATAAAGAGTATAATATTTGGAAAAAGTTTTTAAGATCTTAATAAATTGTTTTACAGTGGTCCCCCCTAATTTCACATCTGTTAACTTTCAACCCTCAATAATTTCACAAAATTTTTGGGAATGGAAAAAATTACATAGTAAAATTTTCACATTCCCAGTTATTTTACTTTCAATGTATTATCTAGGGTTGAAGCCTTATTGGGTTATAGTAATAAGTGCTCCTCCATATATGCTTTAACGAAAATACATACTTCACATTATTTATTTCAATTGGATTTCTATAAGAATGAATATGGTATTAGAAAAAGCTTAAAAAAGCTATCTAAAGAGCTTTGTCTAGTGAACAGTTTGTTTTAAGCTTGTCGCGTGAGTGTCATAGTTTGAAAGGGAGACTGGGTATAAGCTCTTCATCTCCATCGGAGGCCAAGAAATCCAAAACAGTGTCAACATGTGATAAACGGGTATTTGCAATTGATCCCCTTTTTCAGTGAGTTGTTGATGTGTTTTTTGGCCATAAGAGATAATTTGAGCTTTTCACTGTACAACTTTTTTGAGTCATTATGATTATAACTTACATACACTGCAAGAAATAAGTGGTATCAATAAGGTATCAAATTTTAATAACTCAGATATCATAACGGATCTCAACATGATATCAGTAAGGTATCAACATTTTTTTGAAACTCCTAGTATCATTATAGGGTATTATCAGGGTATCATTACTTGATATCTACTCAATTCTTTTTCAAAAAGTCAGCTCACAAGTAAAAGACAAAACACTCAGTGCGAAAAAAGCAATCTCTCTAATGGTCACAGGTGTACTCTCAAACCTTCAGAGCTCTTTTAAAAACCGACCAGCAACATCGACACTTTATATGATGATCAATCCAAATCAACTATAAATCGCCTCTATTTATTAATAGTAAAACGTACAGCAAAAGTATTTCTAAGCATTTTATCTCAGAATTTAAAGCGCTTTTAAAAAGAAAATGTAATTTTCATCAAAAATAGTAACCCATGAAGAGGCTGTATCTGGCAATGTCGTCGGCTTAGACTTCTCTTCCTGATCCACAAGGTGTATATACTACCATCGTGGATAGGGTTTTTGTATACGTTAATGGTCATGATGTTGACATTTGAGGTATCATAATGTTATTGCTGGTGCCGAATTAGTAAAACAAATTGGGACCCAGTTCACATTATTTAGATCTGAGAACGATGAGCGATCAAAACCCCTTTTCCGTTTTATGTTTCTTTCTGATTCTACTTCCTGCTTGCATTTACTCTTGGTTCGCGGCCGCCATTGTCCAAAAGGTGAAGCAATCTCAATGTAGTGTGTGCTTATAAGTGATATATGATACTATCAATGCCTTTGTCCATAACCTCATTGATTCACTCTTATATGCACGAGGTTTTATTAAGCAGTGTCAAACTAACACGAATTTTTACGTTCGATACTCATCGACACCTCTCTCATTTCGTATGAAGTATCTTTATGCTCTGGTAAGCCATTTCCTTTCATAACAGTTTGCTGTTCTATACGCTGATTTTGTTGCTAAAAACTACTTGAAATAGTTTGAAATACTATTATCTTTGGAGATTGACAGGAGATCGTAGCGATGGTTTACTTAAATACGGAATTTGTAAATGATGTATTTGTAATTATTACAACATTATGGTTGGTGGGTAAAATATGCGTATGCGTCGTGCTTGTATGTACAAAGTGTCAGATATTAAATGATTAATGATATGTTGGTTGTTATGCAGTAGTATCAGGTTTCTATCACTATAGCAAAATTGTTTCTCGTGGCTCCGTCATTGATTATCTGTTTCTTGAATCCAGGGCATTTCGTGTTGTCTTTGGTCAGCTTGAAAAGATAGTATGCGAGTTTGTTTGAAAAATGATGTTCTATGCAGAGACCATATCCCATAGACTGCATCATCGTCATAAAATGTTCGGGCGACATATATCTCGAGTTGTTGATACAAGGAAGAGGCAAAACTAGAAATAACAGCCCATCCATATTCAAAAAATCGCGGGTATGTAAAAGCATCCGACCTATCCAATTGTTTAAAGTGCGTTAATATATAAAGAAAAAGTAAAACAAAAGAATTAATATTACCTCTATCTTTGGGATCACCAACAAAGTTGACAACCAAACTCAATGATACAATATTGAACTTTTCATTCTTCTTTGACGGTGCAACCATTTCCAGAAAATCTTGCTTTGCGATACGTGGATCTTGCGGGTTCAAATCAATCGGCTTCACCTGAATCCAAGATTTGTGGCGCTCATAGTTGTCAGGCGCCACAGCTCCTACTTCAAGCAGCTTGAATACTTTTTGTGTGGATGCAGGACGCAGGTTGTGCTTGTTGAGAATCAGAATGAGCCACTTGGAGGAATCACCACCGCGTCGTTTGCTTTGTCCCAGCTGTGAAGCTTTTTGGTACCAGTCAATGCCGCCCATGACTTCCATTTCTGTCAGGATTTCTTGTTTTCGTACTGCATCGGTGACCGTTTTGCATTTGGCGAGTTCTTTATTCAAAACATGGAATCGTCGAATCAACCTTGCTGTTTCGGCTGATGATTGTTTAAATTTTTGCGTTGCTTTTTGGGTGGATCGTTGAGTAACGGGTATGGCTTTTTTTCGTGCTTTTGGCATTGTATGAGTATAATAGTGCTGTCAAAAAAAACCGGTGATAAATTTTTGTCAATAAGCTCGATATAAATCCGATTCGCTAAAGCAGGTAAACCATCGTCATAATCATGTAGCTCGATTATCCTTATAAGCAGTACCTGCGTTACCATCAGTAACACTTTACTCGGACTATTTAAACGACCAAAAAACGCGGACGATGTTGGACGATAAGGAGAGTTGATTATCATGAAGGATTATTTTTCCATCCGATCCATCGTGCTCCTGGTATGTTTATCTAGCTATCAGAATAGTCCAAAATGTTAAAATAATTACGACGGTATGAACACTGCGTCCTAAGGGGCATGCTTGCTCGTGTCAGATCTAGAAGGTTTATCGGTCTAAAACAACTCTGGCAGGGCAGCAGGGAAAAAGTTAGAGGGTGAATCGTGGAGGATCTCTGTAATTCAAGAGGTGGGGGGCAGTAGCTATCAGAGTAACTGTTTGGATCTGCATCAATTGGCTCAAAGTTTGCTTTGATGAAATTACAATAGACAGCTATGGAAGCCACGGTGTAATAAGCAGATTAAAGCGACCAGTTACACTGTCATTTGGTAACTATTACCCTTAATCATCCCCATGGTATGGTTAACAACACCTTCTATCATCCAGTAAATTACATCACCACATGCCAGCACTATAGCATAGCCCAAGTACCCATCACCCTTATCCCGTCTCCGTTTCCAATAGCAACAGTAACCTAGCAACAAAATCAAGATTGCCCCACGCCAAATTCTGCTTTTGAGGGTACAAGTATCATTCAAAGATTTATTTCGATTGACCTTTTTAGTGTGTTGACAAGAGAGCTATTAAGTAATAATTTACTCTTCATCCTCCTCAGCCTCATCGTTGGCAATGTTGAAGTAACGGAGCTCGAAGGTCTGCTTGTCGGTGGCAATGACGCGCAACCAATCGCGGATCTGGTTCTTCTTCAAGAACTTCTTGGTCAAGTACTTCAAGTAGCGCTTGGAGAAGGCAATGTTGGCGACAACGGTGATCTTGTTGTCGGCACCACGGGAGATGACAACAGCCTCGCCCAAGTTGTTGGTGCGGCCCTCAACCTTGATGCGGTCGTGAAGGAACTTCTCCTGTATATATAGACGCAGTTTTAGCATTTACGCTCAATTTTTGTTTTCTTGTTACTCTCCCTCAATTATTATAAAGCTCAGAAAAAAAAAAGGGAAGCGATATTTACGAAGGCAGCGGCATCAAAGATCTTGTCGTTGGCGGGAGCCGAACAGTCAATGACGAACTTGGACTTCTTGACGGTGGTGGTCTTGACGGGAGCCATTTCTTATATCCGTGGAAAGAGAGAGAGGGAGACCAGTATGTTCTGCGATTTGCCCTCGATTTTTTTCGAGGCGTTTGTGGCTTAGACAGACAGATTTTGTGGGTTTGTGCCATTAAACCCAGCTGCTGGTGAAATGGCAACACTCCACTCACCGCGCCAAAGAATTGTACCTGACATTGCATTACAGGAGCTGCTGCTGCTGATGCATCATGTGTGCTGAAATCATTCATCCCAAAATATCGTCATACAAGCTTAATGTATTGACGCTGTTGCTGACTTGTTTTTCTAGCTAGTGCAGTTCCTGATGTTGCTGATCAGCAGACCCTGCTCTAACTAACAATTGCCTATATCTGCAATATACGGGAACAGCATATCATTTCTTTTTGCATCTTTTAAACAAGACGACCTTGACGTACACACCCATTGTCACGCATTTGTTGTGTTTTGAGGGGGACGAGACACTAGGAGCAAAGGGTGTTCATTTTAGGGGGTCAGGAGACGGGGAAAGGAAAAAGGGAAAGAAGCAGACGAAGAATTGAAAACTCTGATGATCTTAGCCCGAGCTTTTACGGACCCCTACAGTGTATGTGGGTTGTGTATGATGCTGCTGCGTAGAATTCTTGGCCACAATGTTTGAGCAGTACCTTGCATATCCCCAATTAGCGATATCGAATCGCCGCATGAGGATCGATGACTGGTCGAGAAATTGCAGCAAGTAGGCCTTTCTCTTGCACTCCTTTTTTTTCCTGAGCCATCGTCTTTCTTAAATTTTAGCATCTTTCTATCTTTTCCTACCCAACGCAAAGAGAGACACCCGCACTTGGTTATTTTGTTTGGTTGATGTTTTACTTTGTTGTAGCACACACTATCATCACACACTAACCCGCTTGTAAAACGTCACCACCTCAAACATATAATCACCGCCTGATTGTAACAAATATAAGAAGCGAGTCCAAGATGCACTCAAACCAAACAACATCTCTCTCTTCTTGTATCATGCTCTACACTCTTTACTTTATCCTCCTTGTGGGCGTTCTTTCATTGCTCTCCTATGCGCCTGCCGATAGACAGATCCACTACGACCAGATATACAACGATGACAACGGTTACCAGGACGGTATTGGATCTTCTTCGTCTCCGTCGTGGTTAACAAGCAGTCAGTCTTCGCTGCAACAAATCATCTCTTGGTCATGGCGATTCTGGACTGGCCGTCGTCATCCAGTCTTCGAGCCACCAAAGCGACATGGTTACTTCTTGCACATCACCGACCTTCATGTATGTACTGATAAATTTTTCATTCACGTGAATCAGCTTCATAGAATAACAAGGATTTATCACCATTAACCTTCATCATGTCATGTTCTCTGATCATTGTCATGTGCTTTTCTGTTTCGCAGATCGATGAAGAGTATATCGCTGGTTCTACGGTTGATTCGGACTGTCATCGCCTGCCCAGCGGCAGCGATTCGGGTGCTACAGCGGGGCTGCTTGGCACGCCAGGAGAAAAATGTGATGCACCTGTCGAACTGGCGGAGAAAACCCTGGATTACATTGCCCGTGAATGGCGCCACAAGATTGACTTTGTCGTTTGGACTGGCGATAACTCGAGGTATATTTTATCAAACAATTGTGGATCAAAAAAAAACAGCAAAGAAGAGCTCTCCCCCTTTTGTTTGTGAAACTAATAAACAATTGAACAAAAGACATGATTGGGACAAGAAATACCGGCCTCGCAAACGCAAAAATATCTACCATCTTAACGAACGGGTTACAAACATGATGCAACGAGCCTTTTGGCCGACAGCACGTGACCCACGACACATCCCACTTGTGCCTACCCTGGGCAATAACGACGTCTATCCACATAACACGATCGGTGGACCTAATGAGGATGGCGACCTGCTAGACTATTTTGCACGATTGTGGCAAACCTGGATCCCCACAGATCAACGTGCAACGTTCCGTCGAGGCGGCTATTTCGCTGTCAATGTTGGTCCACGACTACGCATTTTGTCACTTAACACAATGTACTTTTACCACAAGAACGATGCTGTAGAAGACTGTGATGCATTCGGAACGCCCGCATACGAAATGATTCAATGGTTCGAGCATGAGCTGCTCAAAGCCCGAGCTGCACATGTTCGAGTCTATGTGATGGGACATGTTCCACCTACAACCAAACATTACCGCCAATCCTGTTTGCAAGAATACGTCCGTGTTGCATCCCAGTTTCCGGATGTATTAAAAGGCCACTTCTTTGGCCATCTCAACATGGACCACTTTTTGCTACTCGACGCCCGGGATGAGAACGAGGATTTCCGCACATCATCTAGAAAGAACGCTTCTGCGGTGATGGATGAAGAAGAAGACGACGTCCATGTTACTCGAAACGTCAACAAATACGTCAATTGGCTGCGCGACATGTACGAAGCAATCGACCCGATCGACCACAAACGTGCATCAGCTCATCGTATGCCCGTCGTTGCCGTTCAAGTTGCGCCGTCGGTCTTGCCTGTTTATTACCCCTCAATCCGGATCTACCGCTACGAAATTCATGACGACGACGACCGCGCACAGTGTCGTCATCGCGACTTGAAGCCGCACGGCACATTACTTGAATACGACCAGTATTTCTCCAACACGACTCAATGGGAGCTTGATCTCGACAGAGACTTTGACGAAGCTCATTTAGACTATCAATTCGAGTACAATTCCAAAAAAGAATACGGTCTTGAAGACCTGACTATCGCCAGTTATTTTGAGTTTGCCAAACGACTAATTGACGACGACGAAGATGGAAACCAGCTATGGGCAAAATACTGCCGCAACATGTTTGTCCAATCGCTCAATGATAGATTTTCCTAATTCTTCCTCTGCTTTAATTACTATTCACCCGGCTAACTCAATAGCCCCCTTTTACTTTCCTCGTTTCCCTCGAAGAAAACGCATACGTACTACCTATCTTTCATCGTAAATATATACCCCTCCCCTTTACTATCTCCCATCCTAAAGCCCTGCTTGTACCATACACATAATGGTACCAGCTACTATATTCCCAACTTACAATATATCATTGGTGCGTAGGTACACATATACGCAGAGCAAAACCGTTTTATCCAATTTTGTCAATGACCCCAAATTTCCATTGCCCTGCCTTTCTTACGTTTAACTTTCTAATAAAGATTCTTCTACACGTACACTAACTTTGCACATTATGCCTCCCCATGTCAGCCAGTCAATTAGCGCACATGGGGTCACATGTTGTTGTTGTTGTTGTTGTACACCCGTCCGAAACAAAATCGACTTTAGTTGTTCGGCGCCTACGGTAGTAGCCGTTAATGAAAAGCCCCAAAATCAAGATGATGAAAATTTTGCACATGCAGGTATGACATGCATTCCTTTCTCTGTAAAGTTTTAGCCGGCGACAACCCTTCTTCTCCCCCATTATTTGATATGCAACTGTTGGTAAACCTTGTTTTTTCTTCTTCCCTTGCTACAATGTATGTGGCTGATGATCATCAACGAGTTATCATTGCTGTTATCAAAACGTGTCTGTTGCAATTGGATACACAGCGCTGTATTAACCTTGGTCGATAATGGCACTAACATGTGTCACGTATATACAATGCAGGACCATAAACAAACGAAAACATTTAACCCCAAAATGGATTGCTGCATCTAGGAAGGCCAATTAAAAGCAAGAAAAAGACGTTATGTATTTCGAGGTACATACACATTGTAAATGTTCTTTTTTTAGGCATTAAGAAACCCTTTTGACGATCATTCCAAACAGTCACGCGTCGTTCATATTATACACAGACGCTCAACACGTTTGGATTGACTTCCCTAAAAAAAAAATGCAAGCAAGAGGAGATACTTCACCTCTCCCGAAAAAATCCTTTTTTTGTTGGCAACTCACCACGATTATTACATAAGCTACTGTAACTACTACTTACAATATAAAACAACATTCGCGCTCTGCATATATTTACTGCTGTGGTTTCTTATCATAGCACGCCATGAAGGGCGCATTTCTATAACCTTTTCAGCAGTATGATAGAGTAATGAGAAATAGACACGTACAAAACCAATGTCATACAGTATTTGGGAATATAACCAAGTGATGGAGAGAGAGATGATTTGTCGTATTAGGAATAATAAAGAACGATATGCACGACGAAAATGACCACATGCTGAATTGATCTGCGTTTCGTTTGTGCTACCAAGTTTCTGTGGCGACGACATGAAAAATAGCTCTGTTTTATGAGGACACTGAACCAAGTCGAGCTATTTTGTTCTCCTACAAAGCCGTAGTATGATACATATATGCCAGGACGTCGAAACAGCAGGCACTAAAGAATATACACAATACTGTACAGTTGACCCCCGTTTTTTGCACCTCCACTTTTTGCAGGTCCTCAGTTTTTGCAGCTTTTTTTGGAGGAATCCCGTTCATCACTTAGTAAAATTGCAGTTTCCTCACTTTTTGCATTTCGCAGCCCAAAAAGAAGGACCTGCAATTTTCCGCTAGTAATTTTCATTCTATTAGAGAGCGGCGACGCTGAGAATCGAACCAATGATGTTTGTTCTGGCTTTTCTTGCAGAAATCATCCCAGATTTTTCTGAGTTCATTCCAGATGTTTTGATGTTCTGGGGCATCTAAAATACTAGTTGTTTTTTCTAGTATTCTTGTTTTTTTTGCAAACTATATACTGGTGTAACAGGTTCAGATGAAACAGTCATGCTAGCATCTTCGTTGCCGTTGTCAACAACATCACATCAGCTATTCTTTCATTAAGAACAGCACTAACAATTTCTTCATCGGACAGCAGCGGATTAACAGCTGCAATTTCCTCAGCTGGATCTGCATCAAAAGTGAAGTTCACAAGGTTATTGGCACTATAAATAAGGCTTATATAATCATTGATCTGGCTAAGTGCAACTTCGTCTGCATTGTTTGATTCACTGTTAGTGCTGTTAGTCATGACTGCACCTACTAGATTTGTGTAGTGCATTTTCTATGGTGATATAATATTGATAGGCTGCTTCATTATTTCGTCAGTAAGCTTTTCCTATAATTTTCCTTTTGTCATGATGTATGGTGTGAATAGTGTGTATAAAACAATTGCAAAAAAAATTAGGTCTTTTTATTTAAAGTTGCAATGTAAAAGTAACCTCAATGAAGTACTGATGTTCCTTAATTGGTTTACATAATTGACACTTGATAGGCCAAGCTATAGTCAGCTGTGTAACACCCTTATACCCATCCTCACTTTTTGCAGTTCCCCACTTTTTGCAGTTTTTTTCACGAAAAACCGCTACTGCAAAAAACGGGGAAGTCTCTATTTGAATTTCGAATTTTGACACACGAATAAGTTTTGGTATTCTCGAATCTAGTGATTCAACCTACTCCTTGTAGTTTTGCGGTATGATTCTCTCTCACTTGCAGTATAAGGTTTTGCTCTTCTGCAGCAATCCTTTCTAATCGTTCTGCGGTTTTACTTAAATCGGACATGTTATGTTGGTATGGAGATAAAAGGCAAATCAATCAAATCAATTCCACTCCGGGTCCAGCGGAATTTATATTTTGAATGCTGCGTATAACAATAGATCAAAGACTTTACCTTCTCGAATAATGTGAACAAGGCTTCAGCCTACAGTCTCACCTTTAAGGAGCATTTTTCTTCGACTGTGGTAAATTGTGAGCCCAGAGCAGCCAAGGTCGTGAAGTTGGTGTGCATCTTGTGTTGGATGACCAAGACCCATGTGCCACAACATCTTCAACCGGAATACCAGCAAACACAGCCCACGAAGATCCCCAAGCCCGAGCCTTGATCCGTCCCTTGTTCCTCGGTCGATGAAGCAGTCACATGATCGATTTGATATGGTTGCTGACGCATTGTGCGTGTACCGAAAAGTCGCGTCGCAATTGATGGCATCAGATAATTGATGTCGAGCTTAGAGAAAGTAGGGAATGGTTTGCGACAAGGCAGTGATGAATGGATCGACTGGGCATATCATAGAGTTTGGATGCGTTTGAATGTTAACAGATTTGGTGATCCGCTGTTCGAGCCTCTTTTGCTTGGGACGGACAATATGAAGTATATACCTGTGGTTGATGGGCGTTGAGAATGTTCATAATCCAACAATTCGTTCGATGTCGGATTGACGGGAAAAACCATATACACCCAAGAGCCAGCACAACTTTGCCGCCAAAGAGGATCTCTTCATGGTACTGTTCGAACCCAGAGATGTGAAGGGGTTGGTTAATAATTGAGATTGAATTTACGCTGCAATGCTGGGGGTGATGCGCCTTGTTTGAAAACTTGTCGAACTGTTGATACAAGTATTAAGAATTGGAAATCGGTTGCTTGTGTCAAGGAGCGCGAAAAGGCGGGAGCGGTAAGTCGAAGTCGTGGATGTATCCCTTTGCAGCACTTCTTAACTGTGAGCCAGCAGGTTGATAAGATTGGCTGCCATAGGTGTCGATGGATCCAGCTCTTGATCTTCGCACCATGTGATATAGCGTCACTGGATCCTTTCAGGTTGTTGTTGTTGTGTGCGTACAAGGTCAGGGCGCATGATCATGTTGGTGGTGTGGTTGTTGGCACCCGGCGGTGTTCAGTCATCGTAGCTTATGATCCATGTCTTTATACTCCAATGCGGATCTTCATGAGTATGCTTTGTTCTTGGCCCGGCGCTGGCAAGAACAGTTGGCGTGGCATTTGCAGTGTTTGGGGGTGAGCTGTTGCTTGAAGGCTAGGGAACCATATCGCGGGTGGCTGCCAAGGAGATATATTCATAGTTATAATTTTTATTGTAAACAATAAAATTATTAACTATTTATATATCTGTCAAGCTTCTACTAAGTTTTGTATTTCATCAAAAATTATGTAACTAGTAGCCTTCGTCCAAGTATTCCTCGGCTAGAGGAGGGTGTGCTCATTACTATTCCGCCATCTATAAAATTATTTTAATATATAAGATTTATAACATATATTAGAAAAAATCAATTTTTCTAATAATTATTAAAATCCAAAGGATAAGGCTTACCCTTCTAAGGAGTGATGAGGGTCGAACTCGTTTTTCGGAATGGAGCTTCTTCATACAAGCCTTAACGGGATTTCGAGGGGGTAATGGTAAACTCTGCCCAGATGTTTTCAAGGTATCGTCGAAGCGTCGGTGGCGATGCCGCACACCGAGGCGAGTGTGTGTTGTTGACTGTCGTAAATAGATCCACGTGGTGTGGATTCCACTTGTGATCGAGTTTCTTGAAGTACTGCCGTGCCAACTACCATTTAAATCTGTTGACTGGATTGTCGTGATGGTGCGTCGGCCGGGTCGAACGCAGAAGGGATGTATGTAAGCTGTAGACGTGTGTTGGTGTTTCAACCGGAAATTCCATATGCGACGAGCTAGTGCCATCAACTCTGGTGACGTTGTTCCGCCAAAGTTGTTGATGTATGTTATGCTGATGGTGTTGTCACAGTGTACACGCAGTGTTTTTGCCATGATGCTGAGGGATGCGTAGCAGTTGTAACAATCTGTATCTCCTTCCAGTTGATCTGCTAATGATGTTGTCGATGGGTCCATGGGCTGCACCAAGTCTGTAGTGCTGTCACAATCCCGCATCTGTCGCCCAATGCATCGGTGAAATCCCCATATCCAGAGTGTAGTCAGTAAGAAAGTGAGGCCATTCCAAGAGCGTAGCTGATTCCACAACCATATCAACTCCTGTTGAGCTTCTAAGTTTTGCTACGCTGTTAACATCCATGCTTTGCCTTGCTGCAGAGCCAGATCTTTTGAGGCAAGAAGGTCCGTAGCCGGGACGAAAAATCGCTGCTGTCAAAGACTGCGCCTTGTCGATAAAATGAGGCGATCTGGCAACAGATGGTCCTGGCTGGAGGATTAGTACGTAGTTTCATTCCCTCACGGAAAAGGTCGCATATTTACTGAGCTGAGTGTTGATTTCCGAAGCCAAGATGATGGATAGTCTGCGAAGAAAGTTAGACTTGTTTTGGATGTTTTGATCCAAACAACCAACCACCTCCCCTACCTTCTTCTGTACCCGACGGGGAAATGGAGTCTCGCTGCGTCTGCTGTAGAACTGGCAATAACCAAATTTTCGAGACAGGCCTGGAGCTGAAGGAATCGGGGCCTTATTATTAGCAGCCCTGGGCAAGGGAATTGTTTGTGACCATGTGCACAGCTCATTTTAAGGAGGGATGGAAGATCTAACAATGAATTGTATTTATGACATGTTTGATTGGATGATGGTACTGTAGTTACTTCATTTTTTTATATAGCTTTGCTTCTTGAGAAAAAAGATTGGACAATAAGATTCAGAGATAAAGGAAGGATATACTAAAGACGACGAGCTCAGAATTTAACATGCCAAAAGGTGCAAAACATTGACAGAAGTTGACCTGGCACATCAGACAGCGAGCACACTATATACGTCAACAACTTAAGGACACAGATGTTGATGATTATTTTTAATGTTTGGAAAAGCAGAAACTTGCTTAAATATGATGAATCGGTTCTCTTGTTTCCGGCTATTATTTTAATTCTGTCAATTCTGAAGTTTGGGTATGTAGCAGAAGTGAGAGGACCTTGTTGACATTGCAAACTTTGGGTTTTCTACTATTACTCGCACGGAATGGCTTTTAATTACAAGTTTTAAAAAACTAGCTCTATTATAAAGAAAAGCGAGAGAAAAGAAGCATTGCTGAACTGGCTTCAGTGGTATCAATTGGGCAACAACCTCATCTATGCAGGGCAGGTTCATTTCGCCGTTTGAAGTGTTCACACACCCCAGGGCTAAACGCCCGACCGTCATTTCAGAAAACACCACCTTAATTAATTGATCTAATTCAATGTTCCTTTACTACTATGGAAAATGATTAATACTGTATACAGTAGTCATGTAATCTCTTCAGTGATCATTATACTATTATTACATAATTGGAAACTCTTTCAAGGGCCCTTACATACCATTCTATCCTAATTATCACTCCCGACCCTGCTTCTTGCCCGTAAAAAATACTTGTTCTAAACAGTGTTGAGTAAGTATAGTTTACAACAGTAATAGAGCTGGTCATATATGATTCTTAAACTCGACCAATTTATGGATACTTGCACTCTTAAAGACAGAGGATATATCGGTCTCATGATTAAACCGACGATTAAGATACAGTACAGTAAAAAGACTATAATAGTTGTGTACAAATAATGGGCCACTAACAGTAGGAGGAGCAAAATTGATACCTTAAGCGCATTTCACGTTGGTATTCTGGCTATCTGGCAAGACTTTTTTACTGTACATTGCTCAAGAAGAAGGCAAAATTACGAAAAGTCAAGCAGATGCATCTAGTCTACAGCAGTACTCGGTATAGATGGCCTTAGTTCCCGAACTAAAGGTAGTTGACCCCACTGCAAGCGAGCGTCAAACATTATGTGGAGCCTTGGGAACAAGCCTGGGAATCAACTATGACAGTGCTGCGCCCTGGGAACAATCAGAGCATTCTATCGTCATTCAATCATAGTCAGGCTCTTGCTGGGTTGTGAGAACGAAATCGGGGCAGCTTGGCGAGATAATGTGTGCCAACACCATGAGGACGTACAGTTTCCCTACGTGGGCTGGTGTCTACCCTAGAAAACATTCACCAAATCAAACGATTGCTTATTTACCCTTCAGTTTCAATGTCGGCGATGATATGCGGCTCCATGTTGTAGAATATGAATATTTCTCGCAGCGCCTTGCTCTATGCGACAGCGATAATGACGCAGATGGTTGATAATTGATAAGCAACACGTAAAATATGCCAAAGGAACGCGTTTAGGTATATTGATGATTGCTACTAGGTATATTAGACGAGGAATAGATGGGATCCACTACTACAGCTATTAAAGGTTGTCAAATCCGTTGGCATACGATGGCAGATGCTGGCTGTCTTGCCACTATTATTAATTACCACCAGGCTAAAAAGCAACATTTTCTTCTGTTATGGTATCGCCTTTCTTAACAACGAACGGGAACTGTGCTGAAGACGATGACGAATATTTAATACTAGCCGTGCTGTTCATCAGTATACTGTACGGGAGAACACTGACCAAGAAGATTACCGTAAAGTTTATGTCCGTTACTGTTCCTTTAATTGTCTTCCTATACTGAGGATATCCAATGATAGTTCAGCAACTGAGTCTCATTACACCATTGCTGGTATTGCGTCTCTATAATCAACCACACTAGAGGGTGATAATGTAGAAGAAAAAAAACGCGTTGCCCATCTTTGATCCTCTCAAACCATCATCAGGTGCCATACTTGACGGTATCTGTAAAGAGCCCTAACTATTTGTTACAGAATAAAGCTCTTAATACATGATATTCTATTTGTTCTATGGACTGCAAGTAGCACACATGAATAATACCTCAGCTGTGTGGTGAACCACATTAATACACTGCTTAAGATATCAACAATAAGATATTCGGTTGAACATTATAGCACACACGTATGAACACTACGGCATTTCGGCTAAACACTATTGAATAAAATCTCTCACTCAGATGATCCACCTTACGTGAACAGGACAATGAACCTATCAACAGGTACCTCGGCCATTACATCAGCTAACGCCGGTTTCAAAGATGTGCCCGATTAACATAGCGAATTCAATAGAAGTTCTGATACGTCCTTGATCCATCCTCTATCACATAGTTTATCCATTAGTCGGATGATTTGATATCGCCGTCTTAATAGCTAGAATATAAAAGAGCTTTATCTTTTGTTGGAATAAAACATCATCTCAAAGATACTTAATCTTGTCCCTTATTATCTTTATTAAAGCTCTATCATCACAAGCTGGATTATAGGTGCATGTACTACGTTGATTATACCCGGACGGAACTAAGAATTGAGGGTGATTAGAAAAATATAAAATTTAGAGTGTATTTTTAATGATTGCTCGTTGTACATGCAACACAACAAATGATGTCATATCTTAATATATAAGCATTGCTCTTTAGTTGTTGTTGGTGTCTTGTTGTCGTGTAGCAAAATGGGCACCAACCAGACTACAGAGATGAAAAAAACACTGTTATCGTAGCAGTTTCACACTTACACATCGCATCTTCCTCCATAGCAATAGACTATATATAGCGGCACGACATCCAGCTCATGTGCACAAGCAACATGCGCAAACAAGCTCGTTGGACTGAAAAATGAAGCTATAAGAGCCGAGCATATATATATATATATATTGTACGGCACTTTCCCCGCACACGACGACCCGATAAGGTAAGTGTGCCAAACGGCAGAACGATGTAGCGCATTTTAGGCTAGAATCCAGACAACTTTTTGCTGGCTTGTGCGACATGGTTTTGTTCAACAATCATCTCTGCTGAGATTATTATTTTTAAACATGACACAAGCACACACGCAAATTCGCCAGGACCCGCCTGTTGTTCACCCAAGAGTGTCCTTTTGTTTGCCCTAACTCCTTTCTTTCAGGCACACGACCACTCACAACAGCACATTAAACATAAACGCACATAAACACACATAATTAAACTATCCTTCCCCCCTCCTCTCTCTCTCTCTTTCTCTCTCTCTCGCTTCCTCCCACCCGCTGCTGCCCCTTCCATTCTTTACTTTAACAACAAAACGCAGTAAGGAAAACCACACTAGAAAACACACGCGAAGCGCGACTTAATCTCTCCTTCTCCTTCTCTTTCTCTCTCTCAATCTCACACTCTTACACACACACACACTCTCTCTCTTCGTTTTCAAGCATACATTCAGCAAACAATCAACTCTTGGAAAAGCAACAGAATGTCTCAAGACGCCAGCAACATCAACAACAACAACAACAATACCTACCCTGCAGGGAACGAACTCGCCCACCTACGTTCACAAAACGAACAACTGTGGAAGATTATCGAGAAACAACGTGTCATGATTCAAAACCTGCAAAAGGACAATGCTCGACTTGCCATTGAACGTGATGGTGTTATGGATAAGCTTCAACAACTAGAACGACAAGCTGGCCTGAAAAAACAAAAGCAACGAGCGGCATCGATTCTCATCTCGCCTGAAATGTTGCGCGAAATTGCAGAAGCAGATGATGCTACTGCACCCACGTCATCCGACACGACAACATCTCCTATAGACTTACCTGTGCCCACGATCATCACTACCAACTTGTCACCGGCGACAAGCAATACTAACAGCGGCAGCAACAGCAGCAGCAGCAGTCCAGTGCCACCACCACGGTCGCCGTTCAGATCGGTCAAGCCCGTGGATGGTTCACCACCTGCATCGCCAGTGCCCATGGATAAGGCTGCGCGCCGTGCACGGGCCCGAGAAAGCATGATGCCGCCACCGCGCAATGGGTTGCCAGAATACGACCCTACGATGCGTGCAGCATCGCCTCCATTGCCTCGTATGCCGCCACGACACTCCATGTATTATCGACCACCCACTGCAGAGCCTGAAGAGGTACCCACTATCCAGGAACCATCCGATCCCCTTAATCGATCGGCGGTCAATGGTGCTGGTATACAGCAGCAGCAACAACAACAACAACAACATCAGATGCCATTAGCATTAGGGGATGTATCTGTCAAAGTGGTTGGATCTAATATCAAGACAAACGATCGTGGCAAAGAAGTCATTGCGTTTATCATTGCTGTCAACCGCAAGTCATCGATGGACAGCGAGCAGCATGAACTGTGGCGCGTAGAGAAATTGTACTCGGACTTTTTGGATCTCGATACCCAGGTACAGTGCTACAGTGTTATATAAGCTGCTGATTACATGAGGATAATATATACGGAGTTTTCTGCAAAGAAAGGAGTCCCAAAATGTACTCATTTGTATATATCTTACGGATAATAGCTTAAAACACAACCGAATCCAGCAGTAACAAGCAAGATCAGTAAGCTACCTGACAAGGCGTTGTTCACGACACATGCACCCAACAAAGTGGATATGCGCAAGGTTCGTGATTATAGTTTTTAATGAAAGTACTTGTGTGTTCTGAGGAGGGGTTGTATGTAGGTTAGTTGGGAGCTAATACTCATGTTGTTATTAAAAGGTTGCACTGGAGCATTATTTGCAACATGCCGTGTCGCTCCCTTGGGACGACATGTCCGATCTGTGCGAGTTTTTGAGTACGAACGTGATTGAGCATGACGTCTCATCTCAGGTATATAAAGCAAAGGGAGAGAATTAAAGGAGAGATAATGAGAGGATAAAACAAGGTTTAGTGGTGATACATTAACACCTGCGATATTAGGCAATCGGGAAGAAGGAGGGTTATTTGACTAAGCGGGGCAAGAATTTTGGCGGGTGGAAATCGCGCTATTTTGTCCTGAATGGAGATGTGATCAACTATTACGAATCCGTAAGTAAATACTCCTCTAGTACTACTGATATGCTAGCGTGAGCAAATGAATCATGTCTGTGTTTTGAGAGATGATATGTCATTCCTGTTTGTATCTCTGCTAATCCACACTCAACCGATTGGACTGTTTTGACAATTCCTCTTTAACAGAAAGATGGCAGTCAGCTTGGCACAATTCGTCTCACCAATGCACAAATTGGACGACAGACAAACGGTGTAACCCCAACGGCGGATGAAAGCAACAGCATATACAGACACGCTTTTCTGCTAGTGGAGCAAAAGCGCGCGGGATCTTCTCATCTCGTACGTCATATTCTGTGCGCGGATTCGGACCAGGATCGCGATGAATGGGTCGAAGCTATCATTCAAAACATCCGTTTTGATGAAGAACCCCCTGCCGAGCTCGCCAAAGGTCAAAACAAGCGCAATAAGAAGGAAAAGCCACGCAAGCCGTCCAAGGGCGAAGTGCCTGCTCTGCGAGAGCCTGCCGGCGCCACTGCTGCTCCTGGAGCCGTCATTGATAACAACAGCAGTGTGGGTGTTGCCATCAGCAGCGGTGTAGGTCCCACTCCATCCGTATCGAGCGACAGTACGGATTCATCGCTACTGTCGACATCTTTGCCTTCTACCACGGGCGTCTGGCCACCCACTGAAGTGGGCAGAGCCAGTTTGGATCAATTACCACAGCACGGTCGCAACTTACATACACCGCCACCTATTCTTGTACGCCGTAGCTCAATGACCAATCTCACTGACGAAAATCAACACCAGCCTCTCATGCCTCCACAACGCGCGCCTTCGCCTTCCGGTCGTTCGAGCGAGGACTTGTTGAACAGTAGCGACGATGTGAATGAAAAAAAGAGCAAGAACAAGGCGAACCGCATGACCTTTTGGCCGAAAAAGATGTTTGGCAGCAGCGACGCGACACCCGCGCCTAAACCATCGACGTCTCTGACGACCGACGCATCGTCCACGTCTACATCCGCCAGCAGCAGCAATGCACCACGTGTCAGTACTGCACCCACGGGCTTCCGGAGCTTCTTGTCGCGCACTTCCAATGAAGCGTCGGATGCAAAGCGAGGCGGAGCTCCTGGAGCAATTGCCAAGCAATCAGAGGTGTTTGGACCGAACCAAGTGTTTGGCGTGCCACTTGAAGATGCTGTCAGAGTGTCCCAGATTGTTGAGGGCTACGAGCTACCCTCTGTGGTCTATCGCTGTATCGAGTATTTGGATGCCAAGAATGCAGTGATGGAAGAAGGCCTGTACCGATTGAGCGGCAGTACCACGGTTATGAAAGCATTGCGACAAAAGTTCAACAAGGACGGCGATGTGAACCTGTTGGCATCCAAAGAATACTACGATGTGCATGCGGTTGCTGGCCTATTGAAAATGTGGCTTCGAGAGCTACCGACGAGCGTGTTGTCGCGCGAACTGCGAACGGATTTCCTGCATGTCATTGATCTCTTGGACCGAAAGGACCGCGTGAACGAACTGGGCCGATTGGTATCTCAACTGCCGCTCGCCAACTATACCTTGCTGCGTGCACTCACTGCGCATCTGATCCGTGTCGTGCAGCACTCGGATATCAACAAGATGACGGTACGCAACGTCAGTATCGTGTTTTCTCCTACCCTTGGTATACCTGCCATGATCTTCAACTTGTTCATGAGTGAGTTCGAGTATGTGTTTTGGACGACTGAAGATGGCGATGCTGCTCCTCGTCGTATTGAAGACGAGCCTGCGTCGTCTTGTTCTTCTCCAGCTCCTCCCCGTCCTCCACCCGCTGTCGCAGTCGCTACCTCAGTGGATGATGAAACGGCATCGTGTCCGTTAGCAACACAGCAGCAAGACGACAGGGCAACAGCACCTCAACCTTCTTTAGCAACGCAACAAGCAGAAAGATCATCCGAACAGCAGCCACCAGCACCAGCAGCAGCACCTGCACCTGCACCAGCACAACCAGCTCTGGGAAGAAAGCCAACGCTTAAATTGCGAGAAGAATTTGGTCGCAGCAACCGCAATAGTGTCAACTATCTCGACGGTGCACCCAATGCTATTGTGGAGTTAGAGCGACACATGGATGGTGAGTTCTAGCTATTTTAATGCATATAAGCACTGCCATATTTGCTATGGGTGAGGCATGTTACTAAATGAAGAAGGTATAGGACCACCGGTTCTTGACGAGGACGATGAGGACTTTAACGAACTATCGCTGACATCTGCACCACGGGTCTCTGAAGACGACACCTGCTCGATAAAGAGTTCAGATATCAGCACTACACCTCACGATCAACAGCAGCAGCCATCACCATCTCATCCAACTAATACTACCAATACTACTTCTACTACTACCACTACTACTACTACCTTTACAACTACTAGTTAATCTGTTTCTATATTGTCCACTCACTCTACCCCTCAGTCATTGTTTCTCTCTCTCTCTCTCTCTCTCTCTATACTCTCTATCTATCGCTGTGTCTCTCTCTCTCTCTGAAAGAATAATCTCACTTTCCTCCCCTTCCCCATGACTCTATTTAAAGAAGAAGGGGGCTAACAAAAATAATGCCATATTACTCTCACTCTGTCTATTCCTGATCGCTTCTTGAAGCGATAGTTACTCTGAACAGGGAAAAGGACTGCACGATCATGATAAAATACTGCGTACATTCATCCACACTGTACATGACGCTTACACTTATTTAATTATCCATCACATTATCCCTTACACCCCCTTTATTTTTCTCTCTCTCTCTCTTTTTTTTTTTTCTTCCTTTCACTTGTTTGTTTGGAAACAACAAGCAAAAGACTACTTTTCTCTCTTCCTCTTGTTTTCATTTTCCCTCTTTTCGCCTTTTTTTTCTTAACTTTTTTTCTTTTAATGGCCGGTGACGAACCCGTCATTAACTTTGTCATTGGCGTTTTTGTCTCATTAGGTAAATCCCTCAAGTGCTCTTTCATGACTTTAAAAAGAAACATAAAAACACCTTCTTCCTAAAAGAGAAACTAAAAAATGTACGATGATACTTTTCCAACCCAAAATGAAACAGGCGCATCATTTTTGGACGCACTCGGCTTGAACTTGCTTAAACTAGACCACGTCAAGGAATCACAAAAATCGCCCAGCGAACAACGATCCGACTGTGGCCGACCTTTGTGGCATATCGGCCTATACACTTACATTGCAAGCCAACTGATCGGCAGCACGATCGCCTTGAGTAAGCCATTCATCACCATCCTCCATTTCATCCCCTCCCATGGATACTTTGTACTTATCATTGGGAAGCTTTAATAACCATCATCATCATCACTCAACTTAGATTATCTCAAAACACAAGTAAGACAAAATTCATGCTTCGCACCTCCCCCCCGCTCCTCATTTGTGTTACTAAAGAAAAAAAGCGCCGATTTGAAAATGATTTCCCAACTGTATCATTGTATGGAAAATTAGTGGGTCGCACCCTTAGGCAGCGTGGCCCTCATTTACAACTTTCTCTTTGCAAAGATCCTCGTTGGCACCAAAATCACTCGCAAAGATGTTCTGGGCACTTGTGTAGTTGTAGCCTCAGTCATTTGGATCGTTGTGTTTGGTGGCATGTACAATGGCGATGATCGTAAGTGTTATCTTTCCTTTCTCTTGTGTGCCTACACCACACAGAGGCACACCCCGCGTGCGTAGAATAGCGAGTGAAAAACTACTTTCGCTTGGTAGTATTCAGTAACAAAGGCAGTGCCAGTAGTCATCGTAACGACAGCTTAGCAAAGCACGCGCAGCTTTTGTCAAGATGAGATGAAAATAATATTAATTATAACCGAACATATCAATGATATATTTTATATGTAGCGGAAGATACGATTTCTTTAGAGAATCTCAAAATGCTATTTACACGACCCATCTTTATCATCTATTTCAGCGCTTTGAACATTATAACATTCTCGGGCCTGATCTTTGCCATCTGGTCTCGCTGGGTACTGGCTGACGACTCTCGGAAACGCAATAGCCAGTTGTTTTTGAATATGAAGCCTAAGCAAATGCTCAGAATCGTCGGTTTAATGTTCAGTTTGGAAGGCGGTATGCTTGCTAGTGAGACGCTTTTGCTTGCAAAGAGTGGGTATGTAGTTCTTTTTCATAGCGTTGTCAATTAGACAGATACCGAATGACTGACTGACTGACTGATCGTCTATCGCTAGCGTCAAGTTGTTTACACTTTCTGTGAATTCGCAAGTCAATCAGTTTACAGACAACACGAGTCGGTTCATTCTACTAGCATTGTTGATTACGGCAATATTACAGGCAGGTTAATGTTTAAGAAACCATTGATTGTGTGCGCGCGTGGTGTGTGTGTGTGTGCATGCGGGAGGAGGGGTATTTTATATAAAAAATATATATAGATAGAATTCTTTTCATCCGGGGGGGGGAATGATGCTCAATGTCCCTGATAATAATATTATTAACACAACCATTACTTTCTTCTCTCACCCCCTCCCCCCCGCTCCCTCCCCTACTTATTCAAATATTAACAATAACAATGCCAATAGGTCTACTGCTTAAACACGGCATTGAAACTATACAGTTCGGTGGTTGTAGTTCCAGTATTCTACGGCACATACACGGCGCTCGGATTGGTCAATACAATCATCTATTTGGATGAAATCGGCAATTATCCAGGCTGGGCGATTGCATTGGTCTTTATCGGCATTGGTGTCCTAATCTACGGCGTGTTCCTCCTAAGTTCGAAACCCGATCCATCTTCTCGACATCCAGATGACGAAGACGACGACGAGGAAAGAAGGGAGCAACCAGATCCGAGACAAAGCGGGTCTTATTGTCCAGGAGGAGGAGGAGGAACTCTAGGAGGTAGTGGTACTAGTGGTAGTGGTGGTGTAGGATTAGGAGGAGCAAGAGGAGGTGCTGGGGCCTCGTCCATGCAAGAGCGAGCGACTGCGAATGATACTATGCAAAACGAAGAAATGCAGACGATCCACCACAACAAATCGTGGCCAAGTGCGCATGACGAAAAGAATCAGCATGAACGACTACAAGGTTTCTTTGCGGCTTCCTCTCCCTCTTTAGCGATACCTCCTCCACCACCCCCACCTCCAGTAACAGCCACAGCAATATCAGTCACTGTAGCAGCGGAAGAATTGCCACCAGCAATAGTACAGCCAGTAATTACGGAACCTCAACCTTCGTTTTCTCGAGCTGACCATCAGCAGCAACAACAGCAACAACAACATCATCAGCGATGGTGGAATCGATTTACGTTCCAAAAAGGACAGCAACGACGACAGCACCAGCAGCAAAAACAACAAGCAGAAGCGTCGGCAGGATCTCCCGAAATGGCTATGCATAGCTTACGACGTCGCACAGCCATGGAAAACAATGACACTAGTAGCAGCAGCGCACCACAACGAGCATCGAGTAGTAATATCGAGATACCACACACAATAATCAAGGTCAAGCCATGAAGCACACACATTCCATTTTGTATAGAAAAACAACAGCAACAAAACCAAGTCCAGCATCACAATTTGTTTTTTACCTTCTTTACATACAAACATTTACGCCAAAACTATTGTAAAATCAAAAAACAACTACTTTTCTTGCATTTCTTCAAAGTACGCACACATCCATTCTTCTATACACATATAGCACACAACGCAGCACTTTTTTAAATTTTTAATAGCAGATAATTCAAGGGCGAAAATATACATATGTCGCATAATAATAATAGTAATAATAATAATAATAGTGATTTTCATTGCCGAAATTTTCTTTGATATTATGCCTTGTAAAAAGCCGTACTGCCCAGGTAGTCATCGATTGTTTTGTGTTCTATTGGACAGTGTGTCAGACAAGAGAAGGAGAAACGTCAGTACAAATATGACTTGAGAGAAAAAGTGATTCACAACATACCCAGGACTTGAAATATGCGTTCAAAGTGTGGCATGAATTCGCTGTTGCGTATGTACAAGTTGAATTCAAGATCAGCAAATACAGCAAATTCGTGCTCGCGGATCTCTTTAGAATCCACATCCAATTCATCGTCAATCGCCTATATATTTGGGGTCACATATGTTAGAGTAATGTCATTTCATGTCAGGTATCCCTGTTGACACGTACATCGAAAAGTGGCTCAAACCAGGATCCTTTAGCTTCATTGACTTTGGTAGCCAAGAACAAACAGCATGCTAAACGGTTGTGATCGCATGAATGAGTCAGTTGTTGTTGAGATAATGCTCTTCTCTTTTTCCCGGCCTCCTTCGGTTCCAAGACATACCTGCTATTAACTTTCTGTTCTTTTTCGTAACGACGTTCTAGGCCCCAGCAACACCCCCAATACTCATGTCAGTGGAAAACGCCCATAATCCGGCCAAGGAAAGAAAAAAAAAAGGAGTACAACACAAATAGAAAAGCCTCTTCTACCTTGATCACCAATTTTTCGAAATATACAAATGCATGGGCCACGCTGGATATTTCCAAATCCACTACCTTACCGATCTCTACCAAATGCGTCTTGATAGCTCGGATCTTACTCAACGTAATTTCCGGAGGAATTTCAGGGTGTATGTGCCGGAACTGTTCGTTCAGCTCGCGCTTCATTTCTGAAGGTCGCATACCCGCATGATTGGATCCCTGATTATCATCATTTGTGTAAACAAAATTTGCATTAGTACTCTCTCTTTTTTTCTTGCTTTCTTTTTATATACTATGTGATGATAAACCTGAGAGCTAGATAAGATGCCAAATCGATTATAGGACTCGTCATCAAGATAGCTTGGATCATAGTCAGATGTTTCTTCAGCAGTTGGCCGATCTCTGTCAAATGAAGATCAAAGTGTGCAGTCAGATTCTCTCTTTCCTTATTTTGTCAGTCTATACACACACAACGCCTCCTCCTTGAATTGCTTACTCTAATGAATTGGATGGTACTAAAAAGTGTGCATAGGATAACGCGGGTCGACGCTTATTGTTGTCATGGCTTGCTAATTGTTGTTGCCTATTTGCATTGGCACGTCAGTGATTGTCCCCCTTTTAATTCTTTAGATGCCAATCGATAACTTACAGGTAACCGCGGTTGAAGGACTGATCAGCTTTTCGTTTGCCTGATGAGAATCGAATTTTCTCCGTGTAATACCGAACAACCGACATGATGCTGCCACCATTGTAGTTCTACCAACAATTTAAAAAACAACTAAAGTGTCAATAACAGAAGCATAGGATCGAACTGATGAAATAATTTTTTCCAAAAACCTCTTTATCCGTATTGTGCGATTTCTTTTTGATTTTTTCAGAAGCAATCGGACGTTCGCTGTCCTCTCTAGTTAACTTGTGATGCTGTACGTTGTCGTCGCTTTCAAGTGACCAACGACGTCTTTGTTGCTGTTGTTGCTGTAGTTGGCTTTGGCTTTGGCTTTGTTGTTGTTGTTGCTGCAAGTGAATCTGTTCACTCAACAGCGATGTCATAACGGATGTCGAGGAAGCCAATGGTGGAACATTAGCACGGGCTTCAGCGCTGGGTACGGGGGCGGAACCTGCCAACTCGGCTGATATGTTGCTGTCACTAGAATTGAGCGATCCTCCTGCTATGCATACCATTTGATAAATATTTTTAATGTTAAATTGTCTCAAGAAAGGACAAAATGAAATTCAAAAAATAAAGAGGACACCTCCTCTCTCTCTCTCTCTCTCTTTTCAAAGCACACCTTCGGTTGAACGTAATGGTTGTTGTGGTTGTTGTTGTTGTTGAACGTATGAAAGCTCAGTGTGTAATTCTGGACGGGAGCTTTCATTATTGTAGTGTGATTCAAGCGATGCTGGACTAGCAAGTGGTACGTTGTTGTTGTTAAAGTCTGTGTTAGCGTTGTTATTGTTCTGTTCGTTGCCCAAGGAAATGTTGGATAGAAATGAAAAGGCAGCTGGTCTCGAGTTATTACGCCTGGATTTACGACTTTTCGTCGTGCCCATTGGCGTGTAAGAGAAAAATATAAAGGGCTATAAAAAAGTTAAAAAAAAAAGACGAAGAGAGCGCGAAAAAAAAAGGCCTTCTTTGCCGTTACGTCAAGAACCCTTTCAATGACGTTGCGGGGTTTTTTTTAGTATAAACACTTTAATCTAATACGCCGTTTATGGAAAATCAAGAAACGCGGATTTCTTTTCCCGTACGTATAGCAAGAAAAGCTTATCCAAATGAAAGGATAGATGGGATGCATCCAGTGAGGCAATAGCATTCTCAAGTTGGTAAAATAACAGCTATCGACTCGATGAATAAGTTTAGCATGTCTCTGAATACGCAAATTGAGGCAAGATGTGCTGTATGGGAAACGCGGCCTGTTGGAGGAATGAGAGCAAAGGGCGTAACGTAGTACACACAAAGTCCATGTGGACAATGATCAAGTCGGAGGAGCAAGTAACTGGATTCACGTCGCAAAAAGAAAGTTATGTAATGAGACTTGCAGAGAATTTATCATTTTGCCTCCAGAACGCCTTCACTGGGTTAATGTTGACAGTGGGTTGGATTGACTGTTATCAAAGCGACACTTGATCGTAGTGTAGCTCATTCATGCAAAGAAACAAAAATAGTAAAGTGGCAGGTTATGGTGACACAATGCCCAATACCATGTTTGCGGGTACGTCCTTGATTGCTGTCGCCAAAGCATTATGATTCTTTTTTAGAGAGATGGCGGTTTAAACGATACGCAGTCAGTAAAGGGACACTCTTGCTACTATTGCTGTTGTAATGTAGCATCTATGTACTGTTTTTGGGAGTTTGACGACCGGACTCTTCATCATTTGCCCTTTTTGTGCTTGCTTTGAGTAAGGTACGCTTCCTGTACCAACAAAGAAGAATGAGAAGGTAAGAAATATTGACCTGGAAATTATATGACAATTATATCGACTCACTCAATGCACAGCGGCGAGAACGTAAGCTTTTCAAGGCATCATCAAAAAGTATCTTGGCTACATATCACACATAACAGCTGGCGCTGCTATGAGGTACAAGTAAGAAATTGAACACCACGTTCTTTGCATTCGAACGTGACGTGCTGTTTTCGATAGTTTGTAGCACGTAATACATTTAACTTATATATTACTTATGTTGATGCTATACAGTAGTAGTACGTTTAAAGGCAAGATGATGATAGCAACGACATAAGGATATTAGAGGAACATGTGCTGTTGACATTTCATTGCGTCAGTACGTATGTAGTATGATTTTCCATAAGTGAAAGTTTTCATTTTTACCCGTTTTTTACTGATGCTTGGATTAATTTAGGTATACCGTTATTTTTAAGATTGGGTTTACTAACAGTTTGATTGCTACCAATTCGGATTTCTTTGTGTCCTAGTTTTTTGAATAACTTTAGGATCGCTAGGTCACCAGCAGTGATCTCCAACCGGTCCACATTGCGTTTGCCCTTGTTGGCGGTGAAGGAGAACCAGTATGAGAATAAACACTTTGGATGTTCTTGTGTGTGAAGTAGTGGAAGAGTATTGTAAAGAGATATCCATAAACGAAAGGAGCTTGGTATTTATAGTGTCTGAACAAACCCTTGCTACTCGATCCATTCATAACAGCTCTCAATAACATTTTATTCATCCTCTCGCTCCCACTTATTCTCAATTCTTCATTACACTACTTACTACTTCATCCATCCTTTTTACTTATACGACCTTGTTCTTGCTCAATTTATCCTTTATCATTACATGGTTTTTTTGTGACAAGATGTCTAAAACACACATATTTAGAGATGATATAGATAGACACCAAATAACTACTCCAGCATGTTGTGTTTGACAAGCAATACTATTGTGTGAATACATTGTAACCAGCCATCTTTGCATCTGTCAAAACAATTTGATACATCCGGGTTTCTTAGTGTCAAAACCCATGATGGTCTGCTTTGACAACCAAAAAAATCCAGCCGATCTAGGTAAGGAGAATCCCAACAGCGCATGCGACCAGCTTTTCTTATACGAAAAAAAACTACTGTATTGTGCGTTTAAAACTTTGAAAACCCAAAAGTCCCAAAGTGGGCAATGATTAGAGAGGAACTGTAGTATCATATACCATCAGTTCATTTTTTTTTCTACACTGACGTGAACACACTACAAACCTGATGGTGCACAAAACGTTGGAAAGTGAAACATACGTAACGACAAGTGGATAATCAGTAACAAAAATAAAAGAAACTGGATATAATTGTTATCACATAGAGTATACTTCAATTGTATATGGGTAGGTGAAGGCGATCAGCAGTGTCATCGACGTTTTGATGTTGATTATTCAGTATTTGAGAGGAAAATTAACAATCCCATTATTAAGGGCAAAAAAACCGTGCAACGAAAGGTAGTAATGATGATATGTAAAAAATGTTGGCACAATATTCAACGTATTGTACTTACTAATACTAATAGCTTTTCTACTAAACGAATACGTGTACCAAACCGTATATACAAGGTAAAAAGAGCCGTCTGGCGTGATTTCTCTGGAAAGTTACATGCAATTGATGATAAACTTAGAGAACACATATTAAAGACTAGTTTATATGATGGCCCCTGTTTACTGAATATATACAACATGACGTTTTGTACGGTGCTTCATAGATCATAATAAATCAGAAATTCCGTTGAATGCATAGTGGTCAAGCGAATAGGAATGCTGATAGTTGTCGTTGCGCTTGTATCATTGAGCACAGTTTAAAGGCGGCTTCATTCTACATGGCGCTTTTTATTAAGAATTGTCTGTGGTTTATTCCAACTATTTACGTGAAAATCGAGTTAAATGATGACCTTTGCCTTTAGCGTCCTAACAGGAGTTCATGTTCCGTTTGCCCAGAGTGTTGAGATGTGCATCGTATATCCAAAAATGACAACCACTCACACTATTCATAATTGGTAAAATGTGCGCATCAGTCCCACTTCTTCAGCAACCAAACTTTTCGCTCTGAATTATTCGCGGGTTATTACTTTGTAGCGTTGAAGATTTTCCTCTTCCGTGTGGAGAGCTATGTTTAGGATTCTCTGATTACGGTACTGTTGTAAACCAAAACTAAGGGGGAAAAGCTTGACACACTGCTCAAAATGTGTTTTAAAAAGTAGTCCTTTGGTTCATTATACATAGAAGGCTTAATTGCTTACACACATACAATGATACTGTCCTCCTACTACTGTAGTGTTGATGAATGAACAACAACAGATGGAAGATAGAGATGTGTTATCATGTATTGTTATTGCCATCTCGGTCTGTTTCTACTTTGATAGTTTATAAGGTGTCCTTTATAGATAAATAGGAAACATGTGCTTCGTTATGCCATGCAAAGCAAACAACGTGACAAAGGATGTTGGTGATACAAATGGTAACAAAAAATAATGACGATCAGCATCACATAAGGAAAGGTTGGTGACCTCAAGACTACTCGGTTACGTTACTAGGCAGTGTTTTTTCTTGCGAAGCAACTGTCTATGCAAAATAAGGGCGAGCGTGATAAAGATGCGTGTATGTGTGTAAAAGTGAGAGAAAATATACAACTTAATGGCCTCTCTGGGATACACCAACAAGCGACCCCGCGGCACTTTCGGGTGTCACAAAAACGAAACAGGGCAGCAGCAAGATTCGTCAATAAAACACCAGAGTGCGGAGCGGTGACCCCTCTTCCTACTGCGCTTTCGTTGATAACAATCAGTACGATGATTCTACTGCTCTTTACTGACACAATGGTCAAATTATCATTGAGATAGAGAACAGCCACCCCTCAGGAGGTGTACCTGCTTGCTTCTCTTCGGGTGTCATTGAGAAGAATGGTGGTTAATTGTGAGAAGCGAGATCTATGAATAATACAGCAATATCAAAACCTTCCTCATTGTCTCGCTTTGCGATTGGCTGCTTCATCGGGTATATCTTCCCTTCCACCGCATCACACCAACGGGAAGCTTCCATCGGGGTTACCCCGCTCTCGATATCATCACCACATCTGCTCTGTTCCGTGCGATCATCCGATGATAATAGCATCAAGTTGCAGGTTAACTTGCTCATTGTCAATGAGCTACCTGTCTGGCTCGGTGTGAAGCAAGCTCGCACACATACTCACTTCTCAAGCAAGCGTACATTGTTTAAAAATATAACCCAATAAGCCCTATCCCAACAACAACAAAAATAACTATTGTGTGTGTGTGGGAGAGCCTTTTCGTTGCATCTCAAATATTTTAAACGGCGAAAAAAAAGCAAAGGTGAAGAGAACCACACACACACAACTGCAAAAGCTCTTCTTGCCCCACCCAACCCCTCTCTCTCTCTTTGACTCTCTTTGACTCTCGCACTTGCTGTACTCCTTCTCTTTCTCCAAGTCTCTTTCAGTGCTCATTCAACCGCACTGGTTAGAAAATAACATTATTCACCCATAGCAACCTTTTTTCTTCGGTTTTCATTCTTCTTTCTCTCTGTCTCTCGTTCTGTCTGTCTGTCTCCTCTCATCGCTCTCTTTCTCCTCCCCCCCGACCCCGCATTCCGCGCCAATGCCATCGAATGCAGAAAAGTTACAGGCACTTTGCGACGAAACGCTGACGGGGTTTGACAGTACCATACCCTATGCGTACAACGGACGACCACAGTTCGGGACGTTCCAGCAGCCCCTCGAGGTCGTGAGACATGCGCCCGAGTTACATTTCGATGACCCACACCTGCGATCGAGTTGGATGGCTGTACCGGCGGTTGCCAAACTCAACCGAAAACGACTCAAAGTGCGCCATCATGTTGTTGACGACCCTCACTTTATCGCACCAAAGAAGAATCGGCCGACTGTTCCACCCAGCAGAGGTGTAAAGTTACGGGACGTTAATACTATTTTGAAAGAACAGTAAGTATAATACATGACTTGAATATGACGTGCAGCAAACACGCACCATCGGCATTATCCGACCCTCCCCTCCTCTTCTTCCCCAAAGTTATACATTATATAGAAAGATTTGAATGAAATTAATGTAATCATAATGATGGGGCGATGACAACGAATTTAGAGAGGAGACAAAAGGCATGTCTGAGGATCAGCTTCGACGGTATCGCGAGTCAAAACGACAACTGTCGCCCCAACGACGGCCACAGCAGCATCATCAACAGGCGACATCCAAGCAGCAGAGGGCCGTGGATCCTGTCCAGGATATTTTGAACGAGATCACCGCTGCTAGTGTGCCACGATCCACGCCACCTGGCAGCAATCACATCAACAACAATAATAACAATAATAATAATAACCCAAAGAACAACAGTAGCAGTCAGCAACGGAAACGAGGGGCGCTGGGCCACAAAACCACAAGCTCGGATTCGTCTTCGTCATCCAATTCAACACCTTCTCGCAGCAGTAGTAACAACAACAGTCATCCTCATCCTCATCCTCATCATAATAACAACACCAATGTCAACTCACGTGCAGTGTCATCCAATACCACCACAACTACTACTGCTACAGCGAAAAAACCGTCGAGCAAGGCAGTTCAGCCACCATCAACGACGTCAGCCGCAAACACCAATAACAAGAAACGCAAGCTACACATGGTCCCTGTATGTCTTGATTCATCTTTTCTTTTGATTTGTTTATTTTAAACCTTCTCTCGGAATACCGTTTCTTATGCTACGTAGGATTTACTGGTGGCGAAAGCACACTTGCTGGATCCCGATGATGTCGTGGAAACACGTAAAATTGCTGGATTGAAACGGTAAGAATTGTGCTTTGCTGAGGGGGCGGAAAGGCAGTGACTGTTCGTATCCATACACACGATCCTCACAGAGATATATCTTCTTGCTATAAGGATGGCTTCCCGTGATATACATGAACGACAAGACAATGTTGTCACGAAACGCCCTAGGTTACTCCTACATCTCAAGTTGCAACAAATCGTAGATGAAGGAAAGAAAAAGGTAAGGCAGGATGCAGGGTTAGAGTGGGTAGTGGTACTGTTGATGATGTGGATAGCTTGTTCCTTTACTGATGATCATCAATGTTACAGAAGAAAATCCGGGAGAAAACTAAAACATCCAAGGCATCCTCCAAGACTGCAGATGCCAATTTTGTACCGAGCATCAAGCAGTCTTCTTCTTCTTCTACCACTACTACCGCAGCAACAGCAGCTACCGCCGAAGCAGCTACCACCACCACCATCCCCCGCAAGTCAAAACTCGAGGCAAAAGTCTCTCCCAAGCCAGCAGCAAATGGCACGTCAGCAAAGCACACTGAGCCAAAGAAAAGTGCAACAACAAACAAAGCAGATATGGTCAAAGATATCTCCGAAAAACGCTCATCGTCAAAGCTGGATTCTGCAACTCCAGCACCCGCATCCACCGCTGAAATCACCAACAACCACAGCAATAACAGCAAGCAAATGCAAAGGCATCAAGAAGATTCTCCAAAAACCAAGGATCCCACTCTCGCCACCACCACCACCACCACCACCACCACCGCTACCCCGACCAATACCACCACGACTACTACTGACAATCCATCAGCCACGCGCTCTACCTCTTCCACTGCTGACTTTTTGAAATCCACTCGCATTCCCAAGAGAAAGCAGCTGCCACAGGATAAAGTAGCTCATATGGATCGAGAGTTGGAGGAGGGCGAAACCATCAGTCCGTCACCATCGCCTTCACGAGAAATACCAGCGCCTGTGCTGAAAGCGCCAGAAACAACAACACCATCTGCAGCAGCAGCAGCGGTGACAAAGCCTTCACCGTTGTCGGAGGATAACAACAGAGACCGGTATGATCGGTCATCACCGAGCCTCAAAGACCGTAGCAGTCATGGTCGTGCTGCAAGCAAGGATGAGGATCGCGTATCCTCTAGTAAGCGGACCTCAAGACGAAGTGACGATGACACCGAGTGGCGACGAACGGAGCGGCGGGACAGCAACAATCGGTTGCGCACAGACGATGACGACAAGAAGCGCCGCTCGGACGATCGTGCCCGCGACGACCGTTCAGTGGATGACCGTAAGCTTCATCGACGCGATAGCCGACAGTCTTCTATAACCTCCTCGGATCGCCATCGTCGACGATCACGATCACCACCATCTACTATCAAAACGACATCATCATCAACATCAACGACAGCCAGGGCACATAAACATCCTCGCTCTCGTTCACCGCGACCAGCTGCATCTCGATCACGATCTCCTCGAGCACGTTCACGTTCATCCACGCGACGATCTTCTCCTGAGCGCGAGCGCGAGCGCCGCACATCATCCTCGTCATCAACATCCACCCTCATCAGAGAACCCGAGGCAAAAGCGCCAGCACCAGTGTACAAAAATGCAACGTCTCCTGACTCCGAAACCGAGCAACAATGCAAGATGTATGCTCTCATGTAAGTATCCCCCATGTGGCGTGTTGATAGACTTTTTATATACTCATTGGGTCACGATGCTATATCAGGTTCCGGAAACTTGCCACAGCTTATAAACATCGTGGCGATCCACGACAAAAGGACATTACTGGTCTGATTGACCACATGCAAGCAGTACTAAACTACGTTCTCAGCTTCTATTACCAAGACAAAAAAACGGATGAGTACCAGGGCCTGCGGCACTGGGAATCACTATACCCCTTTGCATCTATTGTGATGCGTCATCTTCAATCCAAGCGCGAGATGCAGCTCTACTCTGTGTGTGCGCATGTCATGGGGATGGTGCGGTACTACACCTTCCGGCGTCGTGAAATGGTTGCCAACAAAAAGTTGGACCCGTTGATCTGCGAAAAGAATCCGCAAGAGGCGCCGCCTGTCAAGGCGGCCGTGGCGCACGATGCGGCCAAGGCCACGCGACAAGCACTGACGGATTTTGAAGACGCGTACAAGTTCTTCAAGGATGCGGAGAAGCACATGGACCAGGAGCAGTTCAGGGAACAGTTCCCGCAAACACACCAGATGGCTTGTGAGAAAGGTGAATATGGCCCAGGCATTGTGATTGGCGGCGAGGCAGGTATCTCGATTGAGCCGAGGTACCCGTTTGTGCCGTTTGCCAAGTTGCACCATGCGGCCATTGTGGCTAAAGTCGTGTTGCATGAATACTTGCAAAAGCACAATTTGGTATATACCCCCATTTCTGATACGGATGAGTTCATGTAACACTCCTACCTTACCCTACTTCTCCTCCTACCTACCTGCTTTTTTAGCTCCTATATTCCCCAAAACTACATCCATCCATCGGCTTTATCTTTTATCATGAAAGAAACTAAAAAAAGAGGTTGCAATATCATGGGTTTTTGTCATGTGCAAATGTTTCAGTCTGCAGGGCTTTATTTTTGTATTGCGTACCGTCTCTTAATTATGTCAAGTGATTGTCCCATTTCCCTTCTTCATTACCGCCTTTTTTCCAATAATTAGCTAATTCGTCATGGCTGACAAGATCAAGAACGACAATAACAATGGCGAGCAACAATCTCCTCCTCCGCCACCCTATAGCCCTATACCACCAAACGCTCCTGGTGAGTTCTGAACATGAAAAAAGTTGAAAAAAGGGCGTGCTTGTCGTCATTTCTGACATGAACTTCTTCTTCAAAAAGAGCCCTCACGATCCACACAGCAGCCACAGTATCGAGCCATTGTCATAGAGCAACGTGAGACGCCTGTTGTGATCCCAAACCGAGAGACTCAGCGCCAGTTCCCCGTCGCGGCTCTCTTTTTCATATTTGGATTTCTTTGCCCGTTCTTTTGGATCGTAGGCGCATGTTGCTGTGCCGGCAGCTGGCAGCCGTATGAAGCATGGTGGGGTAATGCAAATATGCTGATGTCTATCGTCTTTATCATGGCTTCGTTGATATATACAGCCGTCATGTTTGCCACTGGGCACGTACATGTGTAAATAACCTTGTAGCAGCCCAATTTGCCAGACCTTCCTCTACCGCTATTCCTCCTCCATACATTGTCCCTATTCCTTCTACCATTTTGAAACGCTTTTAGAAGAACCTTTCATTATATCGTACTTCTTTACCTTCATTTTGATGTTGTTGCAATGTAATACGGTGTTAAAATTCATGTTTGCTCTAGCGATCCCATGAAGTTACATTTGATGGCTTTTATTCAAATTTGGTAGCATCTACTTCTACTGTGTACAGCAAGGTCAACCCATGCCTATTGTGGTAACCTGTAATTCAGCATCACAAAAGATTGACAGTAATTATGTGTTTGCTTGGTTACCAAGTTGATCGTGTAAACAAAACAACAACAATTAACCTGTTTCGATGGTCATTAATCACATAGCAGTAATATTTGTATTTGTTCGTGATACGTATGACGTCTCAAAGCATAGTATAAGCGCATAGGCTATCTCCCTTCCCTTAAAAAACAGCATATATAGATAACACAAGCCAAAGTTTATGGCAGCCACTGAATGCTATGGTTTCTGTTTTTCCAAAACAGATATTGTCATGCTGTCACTACTGCATTCATGAAGAGAAACTATGTGATATCAGAGCTTAATATGATGAACAGCAGTATAATGCTTTTGCTGTGGTAGTATCCGTTATGTGGTTAATCTATATACTATTGGCCAAGAATACATTCGCGGAGAATCTTTTGCAGTGCGTCCGAGGCCCAACCATCCCATAATGCATAAACCCGCCAAATTACTAATTTTAAACCTTGACGGTGAATATCCTTCTGAAGGCACGCAGGTCGATCCTAATGATTTATGCACTCCAATGACTAGGCTACTTCATTTCTCGATCAGAATTCATATTGCTCCAGTTGAAAGAAAAAATAGAAAAAGAGAAAGAAAGAAAGGAAAAAAATGGTTCAATAACGTCGAAAAACCTTTCGACAAAATTGACAAAAAAAAGGTTAACAAATGTTGCACGATGAACATGCTCCCATGGGAACGTTACCTAAACCCGATCCGACATTCGTTTCTCTTCAGCTACTGCTCTACAACATACCATTTTCTCACCTCTCTTTCGTCTCTTTCTCTGCCTGTTGTTCAGTACACTTTTTTTTTGTTACCCTCCCCTCTCTTCTCGGTCACTGTAAATATTATATATCAAAGATGCTTCCCGTTATGGCTGCCCGTCAACGCGCTTTCACACATGCGCTTCGTGCTCTCAACAGCTCTTCTCGCTATTACAGCCAACAGAAGCAGACTGTGTCCCTTCAGAACCTCGAGACCCGTTGGAAGACTCTAGCGCCAGCCGAGAAAAGTATCATCACCAAGCACTTGGAGGAACTTCAAACAAAAGACTGGAAGACTTTGTCTCTTAAAGAGAAAAAGGCTGTCTGTAAGTATAGAGATATGACCACATTGTTATAGCAATAGTGAATGCTCATCAACAGCAACGACAACACAGACTATGTCGCTTTTGGTGCTCATGGTCCGAGAGAACCGCTCACACAGCCAGGTCATGCGTCCAAGGTTGTTGCCGGTGTCATCGGTGTATTGACTGTTTCTTCAGGCTTAATGTACCTTACCCGAGCATATGGTAAGATTATAGACAACAAGCAACTGTTTCTCATTTCTGGGATGGGAGAAGGATGGGGTGTTAAAATGTGATTTTATCAATAACGCGTACCTTTGTTATTACTAGGTGCTGAGACTCCCCACACCACGTCTCCAGAATGGAGAGAAAAGACCAACGAGTATCTTCGTAGCCAAAACTCGAATCCCATTCACGGCATCTCGTCTGAAGGTTACAAGGGAAAGGGCTATTAATTGCTGTCACAACAAACTTCTGTTACTACAAAAAAATAAAAAGTCTATATATTACATACACGTTCGTAGTATTCCCATGCCAGAGGAATTGCATCCACCAAGGTTCTATATATACAAACATACCTAGCATATCGATAGTGTTCTTGCTGCTGCAGTTCTGTTAGTTATAATATGTAGAGGAATGCTGTTTCGTACGTACTGTAATTAGGGGTTATTTTGGGGATTACATGACGGCAAAAAGGGAGTCAACAGTGCTGTAAACGCTATTGGTACTACTATATATCGCACATCTACATGTACTTGTTTTACCCGGTAATCAGTCAAACATCAAAAAAGTCTACACTCTGCTTGTTGTCAGCGTAGATATAGATGAGCTTGTTGTATCATACATCTTCCCCATGCTCATGATCACTATGAGAGTATTCCTTGCGAAAAAAAAAATACCTGAGATATCGAAAAGAAGAAGCTCAAAAAATAGCATACTCTATTAGAGGTAAGCGTAAGATCGGCTGGAGTTTCGGACGTCAAAGCAGATATCACGGTTTTGAATAACAATAAGGGAACCGAGTTGCTAATCATTGGAAAAAAGCGGAGGGGGGTAATTGATGCAGCGCTCGCACATGGTTTGCTTGACGAACAAACAAAGTGTCACAAAACGCTGAATGGTCGGCCAGATACTTAATTCCAACGTTGCCGCAACGGTTTGTTAATTCATCAGAAGAAATACGCACATCGAATTGATGCTAAAGTATTACTGTATATTCAGTACTAGTATGATAGCCCTAGTCATTTCAAAAGACATGGCTGTGATCGTGTGTAAAGCTCATGTAGAGGGAAGCATGGAACAAGTGATTTTATAATTACTGTAGTGTCTATTATATGTTAGTAACATACATCCATGGATTTGTAAATGTTTTCGCTTTTCTTTTGCAGTGACAGTGTTCTTGCTGTTTTGGAAGATTGCAAAAGTTTGCCAGCCGTTAATTAGCACATCAGTAAACAGGAACTACTGTATGCGTAGAAATAGAAGGGCAAATGTTGAGAAAGAGCTCAATTCCGGTGAACCGAAACGCTTTCTACAATTATCCTCCAGTTGCATATGTTACGACACAATCGCTTCTAATAACTAAAGTATCTGCAAGATCTACAGGATAGCGACATTTACAAAACTTTGTATCGTCATGAACGAGTCCGAGCAAGTGCGCCTTCAATTTCTTGTACCAACGAAAACTTTAGAGCATCTTTGACACGCCTTCATAACCATGCATAGTGCATTCATATTGTACGGTTATGGACAGGCAGCCATTTTTTTTGCCAACAACGTTAGAAGAGATTGACCACTCCTGCCTAGAAGACACTTTGCCATCACTCAAAGAAAACGTTGTCCCTGTCAAAGCATACGAACCACAGACTTTGGAAACAAGCATTTGAAGCGTTGTCCTAAGATCGTGCTCCAGTCTACATTACCCGTACGGTGCACTTAACCAAAAAGAGGAAATCGAAGTTGCTGCTCACGAAATTTTGTCCCGGATAATAGCTGGTATTTGCCAACGACATCACATATGCGCCGGTCCAGATTATTGCGAGTGGCCTTTTAGACCTGGTGAACGCCGAAAACTGCGACGATTTAAATTGCTTGTACCGACATCGTCAACGCGCTTTGTGTCAGCCAACTGGATATGTTACCATCATTTCTCGAGGATGTACTCGCAAATTAGTTTCCAATCAAAAGCGGAAAAAAAGGTGAATGATGATCGCAGACATATTACTAAGAACTTTGACGTGCCCTGCAACGGAGGATTGTGACGTGGCGAGATATTGTAACCGACAAGGTTTTATCAATGATGCCCCAGAATGGATTTTGCGGATATATGTGCTGCACTTCTTGATCAGTCTCTTCTTAAAACTCTGGGTAGATTCAGTGCTGAATCCCGTTTTGTGTGAAAAAACCACCGCCACACACACCATCACTCACCCAACCAGCCACCCAACGTTCCCAGCTCATCCGCCACAGATTGATTTTCTTTACAACAGAGATATAAGAGGAATTTGCTCCTGATATGTAAAGGTAGGTGAAGATCCTGAAGAAGACAAACAGAGAAAACGACATGAAGAACAAGAGCAACAACACTCTTTGTTTTCTATAAGAGAGCATAAGCGCCATCTGGTCGAATTCCTGAAAGATATGGTAATTGCTGATCATGAAAGTGACGCTGGAATTATCTTTCATCTAAGAAAAAAAGTTGAGAATGCTGGCTGCTGAAGAGCTTAAACTGCCAAACAAACAGATATTCTATGGTGCGTTCGCCTTATAACCGTCAAAACTTTATTTCGTTTCAATTTGATTCTTAAGCACTAAACCTATAAAATGTATTTCAAAGAACAAAGATATGTATATATGGTGAAACATAAAAATGTATAGGAACAGCAATAGAAAACGGCGTATAACCTGAAACTGGGCAGTGATTCTTCCGTCAGGCCCACGCGTCCTTCTTTGGGTGGCCTTCTGGTGCTTTCGTCTTAATGGCGGCATCTTTTAAATGAAAGCTTAAAAAAAAAAGACGTGTATGTAGGACGTAGGCGATAGGCGAGTATATATACGTATAGGATTTGTTTACTCATACTTGTTTCAGGCTGTTGTATCCAACATGATCAATAACACATATTCTTTAATCGGTCATTAACGATTGCTGTTATTTCCCTCATAACCTCACTTGTGCGGACATTTCTTTATTCATACACATCTTGGTGAAACACCGATCAGTTATGCTCAGGAAGAAGTTGTCATTATTGGGATCACGTAATTCACATTAGCTACTATCTGAGGCACTTACCCGGATGTACCTTTTACTCACGCATCATACATTACTTAATCCTATATGATTGATTTATAACATCAATTCATTCGTTCAATGCACACGCTGTGGTAGTTGCCAAGGATAAGCCATTTCTTATAGATAGTGAGAACTTTTGTTATCATAATAAACCAGTTTCAATTCCTTTCGGGTCTCGTTGACTTATTCTGTCTCTTTTGGTTTATTGGATATTACACAGGTACGTGATTTGTTTCAAACTTCTGCCGGCCCAGCTAAATTGGGAAAAACCGGTAACTTTTGGCTTCCCATAATTTTTTTTTTTACAAACATAATTATTTTTTTATTCTTCAATAACGAAAGCAAACGAGTTAAAAAACGTATTTTGAAGCACGTTAGACTGTATAATTGCTTTTTGGGGACGTTATAACAGAGTAAAGCTGAGGTAAAAAATTGACGGGTATAAGGCGAACGCACCATATTTTAAATAGAAAATTAAGTGCATTATTTACTGCTCGATAAACCGATATTCTGGAAAATTGTATCGTTCATCGTTATCTAAAATTACCGATATTTTACCAAGTAATCGGCCTTGCACCTGAGAATCCTATCATTATATCGAACTATTGTTGTATCGAATATCTCTATAGCGAGCGGACACTGTAATTAGCGTTGACACGGTAAAATGATACAAATATTCTTACTGTGTATGAAGTATTAAGTTGGACATTTTTTAAAGCAGTGACAGCATCCTTTTCTTAACCAAACAATAAAAACAATTTCCACTACTGTTTTCGACATCACTGTTAAGCAGAATATTTTGAGAGCATTGTTTGAAGAACTCTTGGGGGCGGTAGGGGGCTTTGCCCACAACCCGCGGTCTGGGAGGAGAGCCCTTGTAAACTCGCTCCTGAAGGACAGATGTGACACGCAGCGAAGCGAAGGGGCTCACATCGTCCGGAAGCGGAGCGGAGGGACAAGTTTATAATGATAATGGAATACTAGGTGACATGCGCCACTGAGCTTATACAGTGGTTCCCCGTTTAATTTCAATATCAAAGGGAGTCTATAAGGTGTTGAAACTACTAAGGTTTGACACAAAACGAAGCAGTGTTATATGCTTAAAGGGGTATAGAAGAAAGTTGAAGTTACTCAAAGGTAACCTTGTTGGGAATAGAATTAAACGGGGAACCATTGTAGTCCCTTCCTCGCAGTACGATATTATGTTAAAGAGGGTAAGAACAGATAATGTGATGTTGCCAGAACAAAAAATACCCCTGTTGGAAATATAACGTTTTATGATATAGGGACGTTTTGTAGGAAGGGTATACAGATGTGGGTTATAGTATTATCAGTCTAAAATATCCTCTATATAGCGCTGGCTCGTTGCTGGCATTATATCCTCAGTTGAAGGGCAAAATCAGTCTATTTTATGGAGGGTCTTGATCAGTGTTACACAGCCAGGTCTTGATTCACTTATCTCAGTATAGACTCTCGCTCAATCTCAGAGGTACTATAAAACATAATTGACGACTTGGATCTGACTAGGAAGTTCCGGGAGTGTATCAAAGGCATAGGTATACTCCTGCTGTTGTGTATTTAGGAGGGGACATTGAGCGTAATGTTCCTGTTGGCTGCTGTTAACACTGCAGCGACACTCTTAAGTAGGTAAGTTATAAAGGGGGCCAGTGGATGTGCCATTTAAGTACATAGTCGATGTGAATTTCATAGTGATGTGGGAAGATACAAAATAGGATCAATAATTCGAATGGCTTTACAGCAGCGAATCGTTTTGCATTTGACTCTAAAGATGTGTGTTCCTCGTTAAATTTTCTTGCAACAGCGTCTTTGACTAGAGATACTCGTGGACTATAACTGTACCATAGCATCACACGCTAGCATGGTGCTGCTAGGCTAGCATCGTCGGCTAGCATCATGCTGTTAGGCTAGCATCGCAGGCTAGCATCATGCTGTTAGGCTAGCATCGCAGGCTAGCATCATGCTGTTAGGCTAGCATCGCAGGCTAGCATGATGCTGTTAGGCTAGCATCGCAGGCTAGCATGATGCTGTTAGGCTAGCATCGCAGGCTAGCATGATGCTGTTAGGCTAGCATCGTCGGCTAGTATACTGCTGCTAGGCTAGCATCGCACGCTGGCATGATGCTGCTAGGCTAGCATCGCACGCTGGCATGATGCTGCTAGGCTAGCATCGTCAGTTATCATGGTGCTGCTAGGCTAGCATCGCCGTCTAGCATGATGCTGCTAGGCTAGCATCGTCAGTTATCATGGTGCTGCTAGGCTAGCATCGCAGGCTAGCATGGTGCTGCTAGGCTAGCATCGCACGCTGGCATGATGCTGCTAGGCTAGCATCGTCAGTTATCATGGTGCTGCTAGGCTAGCATCGCCGTCTAGCATGATGCTGCTAGGCTAGCATCGTCAGTTATCATGGTGCTGCTAGGCTAGCATCGCCGTCTAGCATGATGCTGCTAGGCTAGCATCGCACGCTGGCATGATGCTGCTAGGCTAGCATCGCAGGCTAGCATGATGCCGTTAGGCTAGCATCGCAGGCTAGCATGATGCCGTTAGGCTAGCATCGTCAGTTATCATGGTGCTGCTAGGCTAGCATCGCAGGCTAGCATGGTGCTGCTAGGCTAGCATAGTCGGCTAGCATACTACTGGGCTAGCATCGTCGGTTAGCATACTGCTGCTAGGCTAGCATCGTCGGCTAGTATACTGCTGCTAGGCTAGCATCGCAGGCTAGCATGATGCCGTTAGGCTAGCATCGCAGGCTAGCATGGTGCTGCTAGGCTAGCATCGTCGGCTAGCATACTGCTGCTAGGCTAGCATCGTCGGCTAGCATACTGCTGCTTAGAAGTCGCAATTGGACGGGTCGGGTCGGGTCAAGGGTCTGACCCGTTGACCCACGGGTCAAGAAAACACTGACCCGACCCGACCCGTTCAACCCGACGGGTCAAAACTCGGGTTGACGGGTCACTACTGATTTTGATTTAGTGACAAAGAAGGTGTCAATCAACCTGAGCTGGAGCACTGGAAGTGCAAAACTACATGTATACACAGCTCTCTAAGATGATGGCACGCAAATTCCTAGCAGTGCTAGCAATATCTACGTTTTGTGTGATTATTCTTAAAGGTAAAGGGGTTTGTGCCATAACAAAAGAAATCGTTTGCGCTCACATGCATTAAAGAAAGCATAATGGTTAAAGTGTGGTTAAATATCGACTTCCTTTAAATGCCCCTAATCCTTTTCCCTTTTCCCTTTTCTTTTCATTTCTTCCTTCTTCTTTCATTTCTCTTTCCTTAATTCCTTCTACGTCTTTTGTCAAATCTCGTCTCTCACTGCCACTCTCTATTGTCTATTCTCATTGTACTATTGCTACTTCTTTACTTTGCTACTTCTTTACTACTATTACATATATTGCTTATAGCTTACTTATCTTACACTCTTGAATATAAAATATGATCCCACAATGAAAAAGAATATAAGTACGTTTTATGTTACAGTTCTATAGCAGACATATTGACAACTACATCTTTAATATAATGATGCTTCCCAACAAGAAGATTGACTACTTGAATACAAGTACCTCATAGATATCATATGTATACACGGGTCACAACGGGTCAACGGGTCGGGTCAAGGGTTAGACGGGTTGACCCGTGGGTCAGAAAAGCATCAACCCGACCCGTTGACCCGTGGGTCAGATTGCGACCCCTAGGCTCAAATAACAATTCTATGAAAAGTATTTATTTACATACAGGCAAAAAAAATGCGAAATGAAGTGTCGAAGTTGGGGTCAATTTGAAAATTTAGCAGAAGATTTTGTCAGAATGTCCACCCTACTATACACTATAGTATATGACATTCAATCGGCGATTTCCATGTTAAGAAGGTAGTGTAACATTAGTGATAAGCACTGGTGCAATATATACCTCAGCCTTCCAATCAATATTGATTGTAATGGTGCTATGTAAATTATAAGTAGGATGACAGTTTTATTTTTCTTTCTTTTTCCAAAACATTCTATACAATGGGGGAGACTCAACAAGTACCAGAAGCACGTTAAAATTATGCAAGAGTCAAAGAACACAATTAAGTAAATTTCTTGTGCATTCAAAAAGAACTGTCAGTTTCTAAGAATTATGTAAGAAGAATCATGCGAGAGTAGTTTGTTTATTTAAGTCATACTCTGAGAAAGGACTCACTGGATGAAAAGTAGAAAAAGCTGTGAAAAAATATAAATCCCACCAGCAAATTTTTTATGATTAACTAAAAATGGAAATTTATAACGGCGGAATTTAAAATTTTTGAAATACCCACTTGTTGTTTCTAGGTGGCGGGCACCATATCAATAAAATCAAATGTCAATGAATTATGATCTTTTCATTATATTCTTTGATTCTTACTTTCCATTATTCTTTTTTGTTCCTTTTAATTTTAGATTCATATTGAAATTCTGTTTTCTCATCTTTTAATATTTTAAAAATAAACGTTTTAAGAATATTATCAAATATAATATTAAATTATATTATATTATAAATCTCAATTTACCTAATTATAAACATTCTCTTCAAATTTTTAAAAACACATCATTATTTAATATATTTTCAAAATCCATCTCACTCATTTTAATTTTATATCTATAAATTCAATTTTAAAAATAAATTTAAACTTAAAACTATATTTTATGTCTTTCTAAAACCTTAGAGTCCCTTTATTATATTTCCAAAAATTATAGTAATTAAAAAATCTAAGAATTAAAATTTTTGATTCTCTTATAATATTTATTTTTTTTTAAAAATTCTTCACTCCCTTCAGAGTTTTCAATAGACAGTTGTATAAGGATAATTAAAGATTATCTTTAATATTTAATTGTTATTGATCAACTCCCTTCATCAATAGTATATAAGCAGAAGCAATTTTTAGAGGACAATTTGATTCTTACCCTTGCATCAATGTCAGTGTTACTCTTGGACCCTCACAGATATTCAAACGAGATAAAGCCATTTTTCGGCCAGGATGATTGGTAGGCAATCAATGACCACATCCAGCAACTATACAACATCAAATGCCTGCCACTACCTCTCACAACAACGACCAACTTCCTCCTTACCGAATCTGAGATCCAGTTGAAGACAATGGCGTTGCAAGCCAAGGAAAAGAGGATGGCGAAGGCATTGGCAAATCTGGTATCGAAGCTTCCTTCCATTGCATTAGATAAAGATGTCAATGAAACTGAGCTCTGCTCTCGTTTCGTGGAACCCTTCTTAGCTGGTCTCTTCAATGATCTAGCTAAAGGCATCTACCTACATTGGACCAACGAACGTACTTTGGAGGCCAAGGCAAATAAAAATGCACAAAGCCGCCCTGATCTCTGTGTAACCAAGTGCTGTGGTGTCAATTGGACCACTAGCCTTGCGTATGGTGAAGCAAAACCTGCTGCATACAGTAGTGACAATTATCTTGTGTGCAGGGATATTATCAAGGTCACCATCTTTTGCAAGGAGGCACTAGACAAACAACTCTTTGAAGGCATTTTGGGCATCCAAGTCATTGGTAGAATGATTGTCTTTTATCTACTCACCTTGCTATCTCAACGTATTTAAAGATAAATATACAACAACAATAAAATAAATAATATATTATATTTAAGGAAAGTTGTTGTTGTTTTAATTACCCCATGAAAGGCTTGCCTCCCCCTGCAACCTTCCATCTCTAAATCTCATTGTCAAGTTAGGCTGCGTCCAGGTGTTCCTTGCCTAAAGGAGGGGGTGCTCATTACTATTCCGCTACTTTCAATTATTAAAATCATTTATGTTTTATTTTACAAATTTTTGTTCATAATGAATAATATGTTTTTGAAATTTATTTTTTAAAATGATAAAAATATTTAATAATTTTTTAAAAACTAAATAAATATAACTTATATATTATATAATAATATATATTTGAACATTTTTTTAAAGTATCTAAAACATAAATAAGAATTATAAAACTTTCATATTAAATTTCTAATTATATTTTTTTTTCTATATATAATTTAATATAATATTTTATTGTAATTGTTTATTCATCAAACCCTCATCAGAGGCCTACCATTAGTTGTTTAGCTGTTTGTAAACTACTTGCAGCATTATAGCTAATAGATTTACTATAGCTGACATAGCTATCAATGGCTAGATTAAAATACTTATTCTGAGTCAGATGATCAATTTATCTTCATTCATTTCATTTTGTTCCTTAATATATATGTTATAATATTCCTGATTTAATGCTTGCATTTTCTGTTGTGATATCATATTAATAATATCCTGATTATTTTCTTCTTCTGCATTTACTAGAATGATTTAATAGTTAAAGTATGAATCAAAATACTTTTTATATGTATATTTTCTTTTTCTAATTTCATATCCATACAGTTTGAACATGCTGCCATATATGTAAAGTCAATATCACCTATATCACTCTCACCCTATAAGGTAGCTGCACTGGAAGTGTTATTCCCTAAGAAGAATAATCAATAATGATAATATAAAGTTTTAAATGGTTGATGATAGAAAATCTATTATCCTGTTATAAATCTGCTAAGACGAAAAATTGAAATTTTTCTATGGAGATTTCTAACTAGTTGCTTTTTCTTTAAACCAACATCAAAAAGCGTGTGTGTAAGTCAAGACTTGTATACTTATTTTTAATCCTTATCTTTATTTTCTATTTATCTTTTAAATCATATATCTGCTAAATGATTTTCAATTATCAAAATCCTTTTCTATATGGTTTCTTTTTTTTTAATCATTATTAAAATTATAAATATTAATTAAATTTATTACTTTTAGAAAATATAAGAATTAATTTTATTAATTTTTATTATTTTCATTATATATTTACTTTTAGGAATATTTAAAAATAAAATTTCATTTTAATTTTAATATTCCATCACTTTTATTAAATATAATATAATCGATTTATTAATACTTATTGATTATCCCTCTAACCTTTCATCGGAAATATGAGGAATTGAGGATTCATGAGAATTATTATATTTAGGAGAAATATCCTAAGAATCTTCATTCTTAATAGATATATCCTCAGAATATGAACTTTGCTGAAAAGTTTTATCTTTAAGGAATAGAAAAGCATTTATTTTTATCATAATTTTAAATTTATTATATAATCCTTAAAATAAGATTTTATATTAATTCTATATTAGAACTTTATCTTATAAAATTATGATAATTTATTTTATGATTTAAACATTTTTCTTATTTTAATCTATATTTGTCTACTTAAATATATAAATGTATTATTATTCCGTATTTTAAAAATTTTTAATTTCAACATTTTCTTCTTTTAGATTTAAATCTATGCTTTTTTAATAATAACTAATAATATTAAATATCTATTAATTATTAAATAGCTCTTATAGATAATTTATCCTGAGAAAAATCATTTTACTATATTTATATTATTTTCTTCCTGAAAAGTTATATTTTTTAAATCTTCCACACTTACTTTTTGACAATATTTATCATAAATAGTTATAGCATTTTTTTTTTAATTCATATTTTTTAGTTTTCAATTTTTCAACTGTTTCATTTATTTCCTTATTAATTTTCTGTTTATTATTTGTAGCTTTTAAATTTGATTTAGATGCTTCTTTCTATTTTTCAGAAGCTTTTCAATTTTTTTTTCTTTTCTGTATATTCAACATCATATTATCATATATTATATCTATAATAAAATTTTTCAAATTTTTTTTTTAATTTTTTTGTATTAATAACAATTTTTACATTATTAAATGTGATTTGATTTATTGATGTTGATACCATTATAATGTATTTTTTTTAAATAAAAATAAAATTCAAAATTTATTTTTTTGAAATTTTATATATATGTATATTATGACCTTGTACATAAATTAATTTGGCTATCTAACCAACTAGTGCTAGTAGTCCAGAACATGATTACTACATATAACCTTGGCTGGTCCCCATCCCCCTTGCAGGTATCAAGATACTTAACAGCATAATACAGAGCTTACCTGCTTTGGTCACTGAAGCACCTGCAATCCTTAAAGTTCAGGATATAATTGATCAGCTTTGTGTCCATACTATGTGCCCAAGTATCATCAGTAACTGATACACACCAACTTTACCAATTGACAGTATCCAACAACTCTTCTCCATTTCCAAAGAGTCGCAAGAGACAATGTGTGCTCTAAGCAGCGGCACAGTTGACATGTGATCATTATAGTTACTTTTTCTCACCTCCTTGTATGTTTATCAATTCACTATGCACATTGTTACGATATGAGCAGCAGTATCCTTATACTTTTTATTTTCATCTTCAAACATTCACTACAGTGGTCCCCTGCTTTTTGCAGCCCCACTTTTTGCAGATCCTCAGTTTTTGCAGATTTTTTTGGAGCATACCCACTTATCACTTAGTAAAATTGAAGCTTCCTCACTTTTTGCATTTTGCAGGCCAAAAATGGGGACCTGCAATTTTCCGCTATTAACTCGAGAGCCTGGGACACAGAGTCTTGAACCAGTGACATCTACATGTAATGTTGATAGATAGCATCCTTTTGCTCGTCAGTAAGCTTTGGGTATTTTGCTTTTACCATAGTGGTGTGGAGGTGTCGATAGTGCAGTATATAAACATCAAGAATGAGACGACAGCCTTTTATATAAGAGTTGATTTATAATAAGTAGCCTCAGTACAACACCGATATCTTTTAATTGGTTTACTATCATTGACACTTGATTAACATAATAGACTCAGTCTGTGTAACATCTCATACTCATCCTCACTTTTTGCAGTTCCCCACTTTTTGCAGTTTTTTCCACCAAAAACCGCTGCTGCAAAAAGTGGGGGACCACTGTACTTTATCAACCTGTATTTCTCTCGTGGTCCATCATACTCTATCACTTTGTTGATCTTTTCTGCATTCCCTCACTCGGTACAATAACAAATAACAAAAAGAATTTTTTTGGCATCTTATAACTTTTCCTAGTTGAGACACTGAATAAAAAAGCATCTTGTAGAATGGGAAACAAAGCCTTCAAAGCCACTGAAATATAAACTATTACATGCCTCACCAATTCTAGTCCATTTCATCAAAAGTGGCTCAGATAATGACCTGTTACTGTTTTAATGCTATAAGCATTGGTCTCACACCCAAGCTTTCAAATTGCGACGCCGCTTGTGTCTCTGACTTGCTCTTTGCACACTTCTTGCCGTCGCCGAATTAGTGTAACTATAAAAGCCCGAGTGATATATCCACACTATACAGGATTTTTCCTAATGATTGGCGGGGCTTTTTTTCCGATCATGGCGGGGCTTTTTTTTCACTTTGTCGTTGGGTGTGTTTGTGATTGGCGGTGTGATTTTCGTGAATGGCAGGAGGAAAAAAATACAATGGCGGCCGAGTTACAGGTTGATGGCAGAATAATAAATTCATAATGGCGGCCATAATTTCAGGTTGATGGCAGAATAGTAAATCCATAATGGCGGTTGGGTAATTATGGTAATCGTTTTGCCTTCTTTTTCTCAGCATGACAGTTAATGATTTTCAACAACTCTATATTTTATTAAAAAAAACATATATATATATATGAAAAAAAAAGTAAAAGGAAAAAATATAGAAGGGCAGTAAAAAAACATATAAAATATGAAAAAAAACTACAGCATCTTCTCTCCTTCTATACACCTAGGCACAAACGTAAGGGAGTGGCGAATCCATCCTTGGCAATCTTGGGCGGTGACTTCATAGGCGGAGTTGATGATGCGCGGCAGCAAGGTGTCGTCTGTGGTCAGTAAATGGCGTTTGACACCTGCCTTGAGCTTTGACCAAAATTCCTCAATTGGATTGAGGAATGGGCTGTAGGGCGGGAGAAAGAGGATCTCGAATCCTTGCTTGGCAATGGCATCCCGAACTTCATCAGTCTTGTGGATAGCGGCATTACCCAATACCAAGGTCCTTCCACCCATACCATTTTCGGTGAGCACCTTCATCATTACTTCCAAAAATTCGATAAAATGCTCCGCCCGAGTGCCGATTTTGCCCATCACCTTTTCTTCACCGTCACGCGTCTTGCGTTTCTTGGAAGCGACAACCGCTTGAGGTCTCCGGAGACTCAAGTTGATTACACCTTCACCAGTGATGGCACCCAAGATCGTAATATTGACCCCACGCGACTTAGAAACCAAGGCCTTGGCGGGCTCACCTCGTCTCGATCAACCAAAGTTACGCTTAATGTGCATGTTGAAGCCAGCCTCATCAATAAAGACGCATTTGTGGTAATTAATGCCACTGGCTTCAAATGCGTGTGCCCAGTTGATCCGGGAAGCGATCGTTTCATCGGAGTTGCGGTACTCAGAGATCCGTTCCAACTTCTTCATAGTAAGCCCGCATTTGCTAACAAGGTGCTTCTGGAGGCCACTTTGAGTGATGCTGATGCCGAATCGATCAACAAGCGATTGCTGTGCTTCTTTGAGGGTCGCATCTGACTTGGTATCGTAATACGCCTGGAGAAATGCTGTGTGTTCGGGTGTCAAGGTTGGTGGAGGACCAGGAGATTTACCCATTGTACTTGGGAGATAT